CCTTTAGCTATTCTTCCTCTTTCACCTCCCCTTCCTCCTTCTCCTCCATCTTCTCTTCCATCTCATCTCCTTCATCTTTCTTCTCCATCTCCTCCTCCTCCTTCTCATCTCAGCTTCCATCTCGTCTTTCTCCATCATCTTCACTTATTCTGTCACCTCCCTCTCCATCTGCTCTTCCTCCATTATCGCCACCTTCATCTCTTTCTCCTCATCCACCATCTCCTCTTCTCCTCCTCATCCCCTCCTACTCCTCTTTGTGTTCCCTTCTCTTCCTTCTCCTCCATCTCCCACTCCTCCATCCTCTGCTGCTTCTCCTCTTCCACCATCTTCTCCTCCTCACCCTCTCTTCCTATTCCTCCTCCCCTCTTCCTCCTCCTCCATCTCTTTTCCATCATGTCTCCTCCATCTCTTCCTTCTCCCCATCACCTCCTCAACTCCTCTTAGACCTCTACTTGTTCTTCCTCCTCCACCTCCTTCCCTCAACATCTTCTCTTCCTCCACTAGCTGTTCATCCTTTGTCCTCCTCCTCCTCCATCTTCTCATTCTGTCCTCCATTGATGTCCTCACCCCACCTCATTTCTTCTTAGCTCTCTCCTTTTTTCCTCTCATTTCTCACCATTTTCTCTCTCCCTTCTTTTTGTCTGCAATACACACACACACACACACACACACACACACTATTTCTGCCCTTTGTCCTCTTCTCCCACTTCCTCGTTTCTTTTCTCCTCCTCCATCTCTTTCTTCTCCCATCTCATCTTCCTCCTCATCTTCCATCTCCATTTTCTCCATCTCTGTCACCTCCCTCTCCACCTCCTCCTCTTCCCCCACTATCCCCACCTTCATCTCTTCCTCCTCTACCATCTCTTCTCCTCCTCCTCTCCTCCTCCTTTTTGTGCTCCCTTCTCTTCCTTCTCCATCTCCTACTCCTCCATCCCCTACTACTGCTCCTCTTCCACCATCTCCTCTTCCTTTAACCTCCTTCTCTATTCCTATTCCTCTTCTCCTGCTCCAACCCCTCCTCCATCTCATCTTGTCTTTCCCATCCTCTATCTCCTCTGCCTCTTCCTTCTCCCCATCTTCTCCTCCTCAGTTCCTCCTGTCCTCCATTTTTTCCTCCTCCTCCATCTCCTCTGACAACAGTCTCCTCCTTTGTCCTCCTTTTCCTCCTCCTTCACCTTCTCCTTCTTTCCTCCCTGTTGTACTCATCCTTTTTCTCCTTCTTAGCCCTCTCCTCCTTTCCTCTCTAGTTTCCCACCTCCATCTTCTCTCTCCCTTCTTTTTCTCTGTATTTCACACACTCACTCCTATTTCTCCTTTGTCTTCCTTAAATGCTGATCTTGTCTCTTACCCAAACCCACCCTTTCCTGTCACCTTTTGATCCCCACCTATTTTGGGACCTTCGCCCCCACCTGCCCTGGGTCCTCACTCAAGGCCCAGCCCCTGGGTCTGTCATGCCCTTCCCACAGCACAGGCTCCTGAGACCCAAGACCTGCTCGGGGGACAAGGAGGGTTGTGGGGACATGGGGGTGCTGGGGGCTGGGATCTATGCAGTTGGGACATCTCATTCCACCCACTCTCTTTTGGGGGACCTCCTTCCTATTTTCTTTCTGTCCTCACCCTCATTTCTTTCCTGAACCTTCCATCTATTCTTTCACTCCTTAGTTTTATCCTGACCCAGTCTCTTCCACTAACCCTGCTACCTCTGCACATCCCTCCTCCCAGGAGGCCCTCAGCCTCCCTTCCCGCTGTTTCTTCTTTCCTTCCTTAGGTCAAAAGTCACTTCCACCTTACTCAGTTCCCCTGCCTTTTATCTTATCTTCCTTGACCACTTTCCTCACTGTTTCTTGTCTCTGCTTTGCACAGGCTCTCTTACCCTCACATCAGTTCTGACACCTGATTCCTCCTCCCTGTCCCTCTTGGCTCCTGTCCCTGGGGCTGCCTGTGATCTGCAGGACCTGGGCTCCCCAGTGCTGCTGTTATTTTTATCCTGTGGTCCATGCTCTGGTAGTGTCCCTTCCAGGTCCTGGGCATCTGTCCAAGGACAGCCAGGACCAGGAAGGACACAGTGACCAGTGTCCTCCCCTTCTGCCCCTCTGGCTGTTCTCTCAGCACAGTGCCCTGTGCCTGTTGCTGCTTTGTCTCTAACCTTGTCTCACCCTCCCACTGCTCAAGCCCTCACCAGGCCTGTCACTGTCTGCTGGCCATTGCTCTTGGTCACTTCTTTCCTTGCATCTGGCATTGTTCTATCAGATGGTGTCAGTTCAGGACTGGGGGGCCTCCAATGGCAGTCATCAGGGGCAGGATCTGCCCCTGACATAGAGTCCTTGGGGGTCTCTCCATTGTGGATGACTCTGAAGGCCCTGGGCCCCCTGTGTCACCAGGCCATCCACATGAAAGTCTAAATTTCCCAGATCAACACAGCACTCAGGAAAGAGATGACCTGCTGTTCACTGCTATTCTCTAAGGTCTTGTCAGAAATTTGATGCTTTTACAATTCTTTTTTTTTTTTTTTCTTGGTAGGACCGGGCTTGGAACTCAGGGCCTACACCTTGAGCCACTCTGCCAGCCCTTTTTGTGATGGGTTTTTTCAAGATACAGTCTCATGAACTATTTGCTGGAGTTGTCCTCAAATCACCATTCTGATTTCTGCCTCCTGAGTAGCTAGGATTACAGGCGTGAGCCACAGGCTCCTGGCAATATTTTATACAAGGTTGTTGTCAGCTACAGTGTTGGTCTGATGACCTGACTGGATACACAAGTTGTTTGCTTTTTATCCTCGGGTTTGTTTTTTTTTCTCCATCTTTTCTTTTCTTCCTTCCTTCTTTCTTCCTCTTTCCTTCTTTTCTTGCCCTCCCTCCATCTCGCCCCCCTTCACTCAGCCCTCCCCCCAACTATGCATTTCTCTCAGGTGACAAGCTCCCAGGGAGCCTGGTTGACCAGGGCTGTGTCCGGGGCTGCTGCTATGTCTCCTACCTCCCTTCACCTGCCATGTCCCCTCTCTGACTTGACTGGCACCTTCCTTCCACAGGGCATCTGGGGTGGGGCAGGCCCTGCCTGGCTCAGTCTCACCCTCCCCACACACACACTTCTGTCTCCCCCTCCTTCCCTCCTGCTCATTTCTCCTCCCCTCTGTCCTTGTCTTTCACACTCATTCTCCTACATCAGACACACTCCCTCTCCATCTTTCTCCTTTTGCTGACTTTTAGCTACCCTTCTTTTCCTTCTCTTATCTCGCTTCTCCCTTCCCTCTCTGAGTTTCCCCCACTTAACTCTCAACTTCCTCCCTCTCTTTTTCCTTTTTCTCTCTCGTTTTCTCCCTACCTCCATCACCCTTTCTGTTCTCTGCTTCTCTTGCCCCCTCTTTCCCTCCTCCTGTTATCTTTCTCCTCCTCTGCCACTCTCCTTTCTCTCCTGGTGTTTCTGGCTCTCTCCTTTCTTCTCTGTGACTCCAACGCTCCCCCCCCCCCCCTGGGCTCTGTCTCCTTCCTCACCCCCATCCTGCCCTGTCTTCTCTGACTGGACTGGACCCCCAGACACCCACCCGCCTCCTCTTCCTCCTTCTCTTGTTCTTCCTGTGTTCTCCCCCCTTCCTTCCTTCCTTTCTTCCTCTCCCCCTTTCTCTCTTTATTGCTCCTCCTTATCCCCATTTCTTTTTTTTTTTTTTTTTGAGATGGGGCCTCAATATGCAGTCCAGGCTGGCCTGGAACTCTCAACCTTCCTGCCTCAGCCTCCAAAGTACCTGGATTACAGGCGGGCACCACCACTGTGCAGCTTCCTTGCCCTTCCCTCCCTGCCCATTCCTTCTTTCCTTCCTTCCTCACTCCCTTGTCTTTTCCCCTCCTTTCTGCCTGTCTTTTCCTTTTTTATCTGCCTCTCCCCTCTCTTCCTCGTCTCTCCCCCTCCCGTGTGGTCCTTTCTCTCTTTTTCTTGCCCTCACGTCCATCTTTTCTCTCCTCCTCTCTTCCATCCTTTGACCTCTCTCCTCTCTGAACCTCTTTCCTCATCTCCCCCTTCCTCTCCCCTCTCCTCATTTGGTTCCCTCTTCTCTCTGTCCCTTCTTCATTCCCCCTCCTTCCCGTTTCTGAATCCCAATGGCCTTCTGCTCTGAGCCTGCCCCTCCTGTCTCAGGGGGGCCCCTGAAGGCTCCCCAAAGACTCTTCACCTTTTCTCTGTGCTGCCCTGGAGTCCACAGGCTCTGAGCAAGGGGTGGTGTCTGCCAGAGGCTACCAAGGCCTGTGGCAGGAGGTTGTCCCCCAGAAACACAACTATGACACCGTTCTTTCTCTTTTCTCTCTCTGCCTGGATGCTGGACACTGCCTGGATGTTGGATACTGCCTGGAGGGAATCAGGCCTGTGCCAGGCCCAAGAAGGAGGAAAACAAGGAACAGGCTCAGATTTAGGAAGTGGGTTGCCCACGGACACACAGCATGTAAGTGGCAGGACCAAGACAGGGAGAGACCCCTGGGTTTGCCGGGGATGGGCTCCTGGACTCAAATCAGAGCTTGGTGACAGGGGAATGACAGCTCTTGCTGGGTTCCTGCCCCACTCTCCACTCTCCTCCTCAGCTCGGGAGGACTTTGCATGACCAGATTGGAAAATCAGCACCCAGTGACTCTGAAGACAGCACCTGCTAGGACAGAGGCCTCAGGCGATCTGACCCCGCCCAAAGGACCAACAGGACACCTCTGTGTGGAGAGCACCACCAGCCTCCCTGGGAGGCATTGAGTGAGGCTCTGTTGCCACCTGATGGCCACAAGTGGAACTGCAATACAGCTGTATTAGTCCCTGGAATGGTCCCCAGAAAAGGACACAAGGCCAGGGGAAGGGAAGGACTGTTGGATGGGGAGGGGAATTTGCAAAACTATGTACAAATGAACACTTCTACTCCTAATATATAAACTTTATCAGCTTTTTTTTTCCAATACTGAGGGTTTGAACTCAGGGCCTTGCACTTGCTAGGCAGGCCCTCTGCTACTTGAGCCATTCCACCAGCCCTTTTTTCCTTTAGTTATTTTTCAGATAGGGTCTTGTGCTTTTTGCATGGGGCCAGCCTTGGACTGCAACCTGGGATTACAGACACACACCACCAAGCCTGGCTTGTTCTTTAAGACAGGGTTCTCATCAACGTTTTGTTCAGGCTGTCCCCAACCGTGATCCTATCTCCCCACGCACCCCGCCCCCAGTGATTCAATGGTGGGTCCTTCCCTGCAGTCCCACAGAGAGAGGTGCATGGGGCTGTATTACGCGAGAAAGAGAAAACCGGGAGACTTGCACCAAACTGAGTACGTTCCTTTCATAAGAATACTGCCATGCCTTGCTAAGTAGGGGTGCAAGCCGAAGTGGGTGGGCCAACAGCTAGAGACCCAAGAACAAGCTCACTCCTCCGACATGGAGCCTTCCTCTAAGACACCTATAGAGTTGTTTCTACAAGTCAGTGTGGGATGGCAGTCTCCCCACTTAGCCTTTCGCACCCTAAGATTTCGTGTCATACAGCCACACGCTAAGGACACCTCAATGACAGCATGAAATCCTAGGTCTGGAAGGCTACCAGGGAGCAGAGCAGGGTGTTGAGGGGTGAGGCAGTAGATGGTGGGGTCAGTCCCTTCTCCTGTCTTAGACCTGAAGCCAGTAGGAGAGCTGAGCTGGAGTCAGGACAATGGAGACAGAAGCTCTGCCACAGCAGGAAGAGGTGGGATGAAGACCGGGCTGCAGGAGGTGAGGGCAGTGCTTGCAGTCAGGCCTGGTGGGCCTGACTCTCACTCGTTAAGGGCTTCAAATGCCAAGCTGAGGGCCTGGAACTTTGCCCTAGGGTTGCTGAGAAGTCATGGGAGGGAATCAGTGGGGTCAGCTGTGTTGTCAGAAGCCCCCTATGAAGGGACAGATGGCAGGTGGGGGATGCTGGAGGCTGGGAGGCCACAGAGGTGGCTACACTGAGAGTCCTGAAGAGGGTGAGACTCGAGCTGAGGCCGAGGCCACAGGGGCAGGAGGGGCAGGAATGGTGGTGCAGGTGGCCAGGCCTGAGCCAGAGCAGGGTGCTGCTCCTTGAGGCTCCTGGAAAAAGGTCCTGGAGCAACTGTCCTGGCAGGGTAGGCGCTGATTTAAGCAGCCTCTGAAGCATAGGATCTGGGAAGCAGATGGGACCCAGGGTCTGGCGACCAGTAGGGTGGGGCAGGGGGAGCCTGGGGACCTCTGGTGTGAAGAGTAGCAAGGGGACAGCAAGCATCATAGTGACACATACAAGTCCTCTCTGGCCACGTGTTCCTCAACACACATGTGCACACTAATGACACAGGAATATGAGACTCCTGCAGAACCCCTGGGACAACCCCAAGACCCCTCACCAGGGGACCAATGAATTGAACTGAAGCCAGTTTCACAGAAAGTGACAGAAACCTCTCCATCCTATCAGGAGGAGAGGACAAGAGTGAACAGCTTTGCCAAACTATTCACTTTGGAATGCTAGCCAGGGGACAGCCCACCGGCTGCAGAGGGCACTGGTTGCAGATCTGACTGTAAATCCCCATATACCCTGCCCAGTAAAACAAGAGTGATGAGCCCCCAGGGACCAGCAAGAACTGGAAGAGAAATGTAGTAAGGACAGAGCCCTGGGGAGCCTGAGGAACTCAGACACCAACTAGAACACACCACACAGCAAGTGCTGGCTTAAGGCCAGTTGAAGTCTCCCAGGGAAAGGATGCAATCAGCTATGAGGAGACCCAAGCTCCAGTCAAAAGTGAAGCAAGGTGTCCTGCACATGACTGGGGAAGAGATCTCAAACTAGACAGGATGTGAAGCTGTGGTGTGGTGATGCATGCCTATAACCCCAGCTACTTGGGAGGCAGAAGCAGGAGGATAGCGAGTTCAAGTTCAATGTGGGCAAAGTTACTGAGACTGTCTCAAATAAATAAATAAATAAAGACAGAAGGGCCGTTGACGTGGCTCAAGTGGTAAAGCACATGACTAGCACGTTCGAGGCCCCCGTTCCATCCAATCTGGGTGGGCAGGGAGCCACAGTCCACATTTCTGGTGGAGTATGGGGAACAAGTCCACTTTGAGTGCTGACAAGGTCTAGGGACACAGTGGCCAGTGCAGGACAGTGCCCGCAATGTAGTACTTTCGTGTTGCCAAGAGAGGGAGACACTAGTTCCCGTAGGTTGTGCGGGGAGGGACTTGCCACTGCACCACTCCTGCTGTTTTTCAGCTCCTAGGAACCTGTTTACTCTGTCACAGCACTACACACTCACATGTCCCAAGGACGCCATTCACACACTCAAGAGTGATGGGACACTCACTGCAGGCCTATTTCCAACCACATAAGGCACAAGTGAGCGAACTGCTGGCTGATGGGGAACGGTTTTAATCAACTGCCACGTGACAGCTGAGCTTCACACAGCAATTACGGTGACCACGGCTACTTCCTCGTATTTCTGAATAACGTTAAGTGCACAGAATCCAATAAAGCCATTTGGCTCATATAGACAAAACGAGTCACACTGGCTGTTGGGAGCTGGGAGTTTTCAAAATGTGTGACGTGCCAAGAGTGGTACTGTTCCTAACTAGACAGGGTGACAACCAGCACCCCCACGCTGCTGCCACATCTTGGGTGGGATAATCTGGGGGTAGACAGGCCCAGGGACGGCTCTAGTTAGACCATCTGGCCCTTACTCTGCTAACAGCTGGTTTGGGTTCTCCCTGGACACACTGCTCCTCAGCCGGGCACACAGAAGGCCGGGCACATCCCCACACTGGGCAGACCAGGCCAGACACCAGCCCCACAGGCAGTGCAGGGGTGAGTGGAAACCATGGCACTCACAGCCAGCCTGTCCCAGCCACCACCTCCTCAGTGTGGAACCTGGCCCAGTGTGCTGAAGTGGGCGGTGTGGAGCCTGGCTGGGACAAAGGCACAGAGGCTGGAGAGAACCTGGCATGTTCCCAAACTGCAGGGTGGGTGGGGCAGTCAGAGGGCAAAGGCCCAGAGCTGGGGCTCCAGCTGGAGGGCGACAGGGAGCCAACAAGGCTGGGGCGGGGTCACGGAAGACAGGGTTGCAGCAAACACCCCTCAGCCAACAGGAAGGAGGCTCTTCGGGAGGCCAAGGGGCTGTGCAGGTGGCTCCTGGGGAAGTGGGAGGGGCTGGCAAATCCTTCTTGAGATGACCAAGGACACAAGCCACTCTGGATGGCATGGAGTCCCTGGGGAGAGGAATGGCTACTCACCGGCCACCACCCCCACTGCCACCCCCACCCCCACCCCCACTCTGGCCGCCGGCATCTGGTGCTCCCGACATCATGAGGAACAGGACGACAGGAATGATGTACATCCACTGCAAGCCAGGTGGAGGACAGACAGACACACAGAGAGACAGAGATGGAGGTGAGTGCAGGTGTTGCTCTGTCTGGGGCGGGGAGGGGGCCGGCATGAGGGAGTCGCATCAGGGAAGGGGCCCAGGTCCCCTACGTCACTACAGGCAGGGGCAGGGCTGGCAGGGCAGGAGGGGCAGAGGTGGGAAGGGGTCAGGATCCTCACTCAGGCCTCCTGTGGCGGCGGCGCGGGCCCCGGGGCAGCAGGACGCAGGGCTGTGAGCAACACGGCCCCCCCCAGGATGAGGTGCCACTGGGGAGGGAGGGAGCGCGGGTCAGCAGGCTCCTGGGGCATTGGGAGGGCTGGGCCCACAAGAAGTGACAGGGCAGAGCCACACAAAGTCAAAGTCGTGGCTTCTCTGGGCCTATTTCCCTGCCACACAGCTATCAGACTGCCCTGAGGTCAGGAGCTATGAGATCCTTGGGGCAGGTGCTCAGCACAGCTGAGCGCTTCGTCTGGCCAGGGGCACTAGCAACCTCCCCCCTCACAGGTCTTGCTGTGCCTTTATCTTGCTGGGCCTGTACCACTGCAGCCTAACAGCCCTCCAGCCTCCAGGGACAGAGGACTGGTGGAGCCGGCCTCCTCCAGGACTCAACCCTCCAGCCCCCGGCCCACCTCAGCCTCCAGCCCCCGCACACCTGCTTCTGGCTGCACAAACCCTCCTCTCCTTTGCACCTCTGCCCTGTGACTCCCAGTTCCCTCCCAGGGCCTCGTGCCTCCCAGCCTGCTCCCCTCTGCCTTCCTGCCCAGCCTCCTGCAGGCCCCCATTTCCAGCTGCCCTTTCCCTCCTCTGAACTCTGCCACCCTCAAGGAGCCTTGCTCAGTGGCTCCAGCCAGGGCCCTGGAGTGGCCTGGTCTCACCTGGCTACCTCCACACTGCTCTTCTCCTCACAAGCCTGGGACTACTGTGCCCACAGATCTACAAGTCATGGGGCTGTCTGGGCTCCTACAGCCACCCAGTGCTGGGACCATTTTCATGAACTGACCTGGGAGGGTCCACAGCCCTGACCCCTTTGCCCAGGCGCCAGGGGGACGTGCCTGGGACATTGGACAGGAGGGAGGCCTGGGCCACCTGGGTAGGACCTGGGGGAAGCCGGGAGGACAGGATGGCTCCACTCACGTATTTGGCAAAGAAGGACTTCTGCTCCTGGGGGTTCTTGGCCTTCTGGGCCTGCTCCATCTCCAGGCGCTCGATGAAGGCCGCTGTCTCGGGGCTGGGTCAAATAAAGGGAAGGAAAGGGGTTGAAGGGCTGCCCAAGCCCCTGAGGCAGCCAGCTGAGGAACCGCCCTCCCTCCTCGCAGCTGACCCTTCTCCTCACCCGGGGGCTGTGCTGGGGGGCCGCAGCTGCACTGACGTGTTAAACAGCTCCAGGTCCACGTCCTCCACCTCATGGCCCCGGCAGCCCCCAGGGTGCGTCACCACCGACACGCCCACCACACTTCCCACCACATCCACGTGCAGGGTCAGCTGGTCTGAGAGGTGTGACTCCACGAGGGAACACTGTGGAGGGCGGGGTGCCAAGGTCAGGGGAGGGGAGAGGGCTGCTCCCTGACAGAATCTTTCAAAGCCCTCCCTTGGCTCCTGTCACCTTTGGCACAGGTCCAAACACAAGCCTCCCCCAGGGTCCATCACACTGCTCCCATGGGACCAACACCAGGCCAAAGGCTCCAGGTTGCCCTCTGCCCACTGAGGGGAGATGGGGAACGAGGATGGAGGAAGGGCCCTGTCACTCGCTCACCGCAGGGACGAAGGAAGAGACATAGCCACCAGCTTCTGGGCCATCAGGGGTCCCAGGCCGCCTTGGGACCCGGATCCGGTACAGGCCATTCAGGGCTGCTACATCCTGCAGGGCGTGCAGAGAAAGGTGCCAGTGAGAGGGGCAGTGCTCCAGTGTCGCCTGCCCAGCATCCCACTCTTTGACTTGGCCTTGCTAATGGGTAAGGCCGATGTAGCCAGGCAGCCCTACCTGGGACAGAAGCAGCTCTGGAGAGCAGGACCCAGCTCATGACAGGAGTCCCAAGGACATTCTTCTAGCACCTAGATCCAGCCACACCTGACTCCCACCCCACACCTAGACCAGTTCCATAAGCAATAAACTTTTAGGGACAAAGAATCACGAGGCCCCACCAGATAATGCTGCTGCTTTCCAGCCTCCTTCATGGGAACAGAAGCAGGATTGAGTGGTGTAGGCTTTTGTGAGGAGGCCATGAAGCAGACACACAAGGGCCCTCCTGTCTAATCCCAGCTTTTCTGTGTGATCAGGAAATGTCCGGGCTGAACCTGAAAAGGTGACAGGAGCCCACCAAGTGAAACCTATGGTGGTAGGGCGTCCCTGAGCCACACACTATTGTGGACACTAAGAACTGAAACACCACTGAGCCTGGACCAGCCACAAGGACCGGTGGGATAGCCAGAGAGATGGCTGGGGGCCTCCCACTCTTAGCCCAGCCCTGAGGACCCCACCTCACCCGAAGTCGGCCCCGCTCCTCCTCACTGAGCTGCCGCTGAGACAAGGACAAGGTGCCATCCTGCTGGTTCCACAGCAGTGAGCCCCGCTTCCGGAAGTGGGCACTGTCATCTGCAAGGAGCCAGGGTTCAGAGAACACCCCCCCGCTGCACCCTTCAACCCTGGCACAGGCCCAGAGACCTGGATGCCAGTCTTGGCCTGGCCCCTACCCCAGAGAGACCAGGTGGCTTCTTCACCCCTGAGGTCCCAGTTCTCATCTGCAAACTGGGGATACCCCATGACATCCTGCTCTCCTGCTTCACAAGGCAGTCATAGCCAATGAACTCCAACCGTGCTCCCAAGGCCTGCCACTGTCTTGCCAGGTGACCCCGGGACAGTGACAAACCTGTGAGAGTCTCAGTTTCCTCTGGGCTGACTAGGATCTGAGTGCGCATTTGTGGAGGGGGGCCTGGCCTCACTGTAACGGTGCCCCCAGTCTAAGGTCTCTAACTCCATTCCTAAGTCCTGGGCAGTTCTCACAGCTGGCTCTGAGCCCGCCTGTCATGGTGCTTAAGTTGAGCTTTGGAACTGGCCCCAGCTCTGCCATTCACTGACTGAGGGACCCGGTGTGGTGCCTACTCTGAGCCACCTTCCACTTCTGAAAAATAGGGGAGGAGGGGAGTTTGCAGTGCTAGGGCTTGAACTCAGGGCCTACACCTTGAGCCACTCCACCAGCCCTTTTTTGTGATGGGTTTTTTTTCAAGATAGGGTCTCACAAGCTATTTGCCTGAACTGGCTTCAAACCACGATCTTCCTGATCTCTGCCTCCTGACTAGCCTGGATTACAGGCGTGAGCCACAGGCCCCCGGCCTCTTCTGGAAATTGGGACTAACACTTAGACCTACTGTGTGAGACTGCTTTGAGAATGTCAGCGGTAATGCAGGAAAATCAGGGAACCGTAACTAGGGGAAGAGTTGGCTCTGATCTGTAGGATTTGTCATACAGGTCTAGGGACATTTAAAGACACTCTTTCTCTTTGCTCATGTGGGAGTCCCTGTTCCCATCCCCCACCCCCCAGTTAGTAATGGATGTCGGGTTTCACACTGCACAGGACACCAGGTGAGTCCAGGCGGGGATATCATCCAACTCACCGATCTCAAACGAGTGCTCCAGCAGCAGCCCCACGGTGCCGCAGCCCTCGCTGTCCCGGCCTTCCGCCCCAGCCTGCAGGAGAGAAGAGGGGCTCCAGATGAGGCCCACCTACGATCCGGACAGGGCAGGCCCCGGGACAGACCAACGGACTAAAGAAGAAGCCTTATCTTCATGTCCATATCCGATCATTCACGATAATGGTCCTACTCTCCCAGGGCCGCCCACTCATGAATATTCATGACCGAGATTTCCATCATCAGGAAGCAAGACTTAACAAACATACTTAATCGGTACCGTCGTCTCTAAAGCAACTATCCCCAGGTCACTTTCACGCCTGCATCATAAAAATTCATGAGTTAAAGGACACCCTCGCTCTGTTTGCACGGTGACATCCAAATGTTCTCGCCTTCCCCTTAACGGCCCCAATAGCCAAGACACTGCCCGAGTTCCGCCCCCGTCAAGGAAGTCCAGGATTCTAAACCTTTTCTCTGATTTCAAATTCCTCTACTTCTGCATCCTCTCCACCCTCTCCCGCCTGCGCAACTGCACGCCACGATCTACTCATGCATATTCAGGAGACAGAACTAGCTAATTCCTGGAGCACCGCCCCACACATTTGCATTTTAGCCACCCAGACGTCTGATTCGCTAAGATTCCATTCTGGCCACACCCTCTTATGAACATTCCACAACTACTTAAAGTCCTAGAGGCAATTTGTCCCACCCCCGCTTTTCCCCAGCAGCCAACCCGCGGGAGCCGATTCCGCCCCGCCCCCTCATTCACTGACAACTAGAACCTTCGGCGATCCTCCGGCTTTCTCTTCCAAACGCGGCGACCCGGTGCAGGCCGAGCTCCCTCCAGCACCTGCACGGAGGCGGCCTCGCTTCTCCTGGTTCTCTCACCTCTTCCCTCAATCCCGACCGGCCTCGTAGCCACCTTAATCCACCTGCAGACCCATGATTTCCCTCGGCCCCACCTGCTGCGCTGAGCTAAATAACCACTCACCCCCCGCGCAGTGGCCCCAGTCCGGCAGCTGCTACCCCGGGCCCGGCTGGGCGCTGCTGCCACCATCAGTAAGAGCAAAAGCAACCGGGTTGCCCCGGCACCTGCAGCCACCATTTCAACCCCGTCCCACCAGCCAAGCGGCTGATGAGAGCCGCAGAGTACGCTGGGAGCTACAGGACGCATTCTGATGCCTGTGCGCTTGCGCCGATCCTCGCGCATGCGCGCTCAAGCCCATTCGCAGCCAACGCCTAATCTCAGCGGGGCGGCCATGTCTCCATCCGGGTTTCTAGGGCTTGTCCTCCCGGTGACGCCATAGCCTTAGGAGTAATCTGTTATGTCAGCCAACAGGCCCACCTTGTGACGTCACAATGCCCGTGGCCCCGCCCCCTCGATATCTCCCTCCGGCTCCTCCCTCCGCTCCCACTATTGGGCGGGGCATTGCGATGAAGCAGGGGCAAGAGTCTAAGTCCGCCCTCGGTGGAGCAGGTGAGGCGGGGCCAGGTGGGATGGCAGGTGAGAGATAGAGTCAGGCCAGGAGGGATTGGACCTGGTGCGGGATAGTGAGGGCACCAGTAAGGAATGGGGCCAGCAATTGGGAGACATCTAACACCCTCCTCCAGCTCAGCTCAGGATAGTCCTAGGCCCTGCCTGTTGGAAGGCTCAGGCCAGGGTTCCTGGGATAGACCCCTCAACTTCACCTCTCTAGAATGCCCCCTGGTTCCAGCCTATCCCTCGGGCCGTCCTGGACGGCTCCAACGCCACCTCTTGAGCGGAGAATTCGACCAGCTGCGGGACTTCCCCATCTTTGAGAGCAACTTTGTGCAGGTGTGGCGCCCCCCCACACCCCAGGACCCCAGCCCCCTCCCTCTCCACCTGGGCAATCACTGCCCTGCCTACTCTGGCTGTTCTCCCTTAATCCATCCCGTGGAATTGCTGACCTCCAACTCCTCTTAATGACCTCCGACCTCTCCCCGGTAGCTCCTGCCTCTGAGTCCTTTGCCTCAGTTTCCCTGACCTTACACCCATAATGATTCTTGTCCTTCTATCCCAAGATATCTGCCCCTAACCTGATTTTCAACTCCTCTAGTTCCAGACCTTTGATCCCTACCCAATTCTGTCCCCCAGTCCAATTTATCCTGCCTCTAACCTCTGACTTCTGGCTCCAGGTGACCCGATTTGGAGAAATCGCCAATAAGGTCACCATGGGGGTGGCAGCCTCCAGTCCAGCCCTGGAACTCCCAGACCTGTTGCTGCTGGCCACCCCTGCCAAGGACAATGGACACCTGCAGCTCCTCGGGTGACTGTCCCACCTGACCTAGGCCTCCTCCACCCACACCTTTGGCACCCTGACTCCTGCCCCATTTTCCCAGGACTGTGATTGCTGCCAGTCCTCTCTGGGCTGCTGTCCTCCAAGGAGAACAAGGACAGGGCAATCCAAAGGGCCAGAAATCAGGGACTAGGTGACAGAAGGGACGCCCTCAGTGACAACCTGCAGAGGCCAGGATGGTGACCATTTATGCAGGGAACTCAGGGCCTCATGCTTGCTAAGTAGGCACACTATCCCTTCAGCCAGTCTGCCAGACCACTTCTTTGATTTTTTGAGGTGAGGTCTCACTATGTAGCTAAGGCTGGCCTGGCACTCTGGATTCTCCTGCCCCAGCCTCCCTGAGTGCTGGGATCATAGGCATGCATCACAGTGCCCAGCTCATAATCTCACCTCTTACCTCATATCCTCATGGTGGGGCTCCTGAGGCCCCATCAAATAAAGTGAAGCTCAGAGAGGGGGAGCAGGTTCTCCAGGGTCCCACAGTGGGGCTGGCTGGCCTGGGCCTGAAACCTCAGGTTTCTCACAGTCACAAATATCACAGTTCCTGTGTGCCATGGTACCCCTTAGTTTCTTTTTTTTTTTTCTTTCTTTTTTTTTTAACTGAAATGTCACACAAATACATGAGAAAGTAAACACTCCCAAGTACAAAACAGATGTCACAAGATAGACTGTTCCACATCCTCTGCTCCTGCCCCCCGACTCCAGCTGCAAACATTGATACTCATAGTGTATTTGAATATTTGCAGACACATTCTGCCAGGGGCCTTTACTTTTTTCATCCTATCTTACAGTTAATGAAAGAGGGAAAAAATGAAGCGGGGGCAGGGGGAAAGAAGAGAGTAAGAAGGAAGGGAAGAAAGTAAGAAGTGGGCCGGGCATGGTGGTACACGCCTATAATCTTAGCACTCAGGAGATTGAGGCAGGAGGATCGAGAGTTCCAGGTGAGCCTGGGCTACAATAGTGAGACCCTGTCTCAAAAAAACCCAAAAAAGACAGGTGGACTGGCTCAAGTGGTAGAGCACCTGCCTAGCAAGCATGAGGCCCTGAGTTCAAACCCCAGTACCGCCAAAAAAAAAGTAAAGAATGAGTGTAATGGATACAGATGCACTCAACCGTAACAACCTTTTTATCCCCCACCCCACCCCGCCTAAGTGGAGAACATTTTTCTTTTTTGTAGTACCAGGGTTTGAACTCAGGGGCTCACACATGCTAGGCAAGTGCTCTACCACTTGAGCCACACCCCAGTCCCAGGTGTCCTGATTTGTTTTTGATCACCTGCCTGTTATTTTAAATCATTTTGTCCCCTCAATTGATCTCACCACTCACTGAGTCATGACCTAGGGTTGGGAGAGTGGTAAAGGTGCTAAGGGCAACTTTGACCCTTTCCTCATCATTAGCATCCTTGCTCTGCAAACTGGGCCTGAAGACTGACCCCACACCACCACCTGCCTTCATTCCCTCCTCACTGGCTTTTGCTGTCTGTGCCTCAGTTTCCTCATCTAGAAAATGGGATAAGAGGAGAACCCACCTTCCAGGGCTGTCAGGGGATGAGCCATGAAGCACGTGCCACAGCACTGGCACAGAGAGTGCAGTTACTCTTCATTTGGGGGATAAAACCAAGTCCCCCACTGACGGACACTGAGGGCTTGTCCAGTGATGTGGGGTTATGGCCAGTGTGGCAGAGGACACTGGTGTATGTAAGTCTGCACAGGTATAAGGGTGTCTGTCAGATCAATTCCCAGAAGCAATATTGTCTGGCCAGAGGGGGAAATGGCTACCCAGTGCTGTGGTTAAGAGCAAACATACCAAGCCAGGTGCATGGCTCACGCCTGTAATCCAAGCTACATGGGAGGTTGAGATTCAGAGGGTCGTGTTCAAGGCCAGCCTGGACAAATAGTTTGTGAGACTCCATCTCAACCAATAGAGGCACAGATCTGGCATCCCAAGCTACTTGGGAGGCTGAGATTAGGAAGACTGGGGTTCCAGGCCAGTCCAGGCAAAAAAATATATATATTGGGGAAACCCCATATATATGCTCTCACTGGAAAGAGCTGGGAATGGTGGTGTCTGTCATCCCAGCTACCTCTGGAAGCATAAAATAGAAGCATCACTGTCCAGATTGACCTGAGCAAAAAACAGACCCTATCTCAAAAGTAACCAGAGCAAAAAGGGATGGAGACCTGGTTCAAGCAGTAGAGTGCCTGCCTAGCAAATGCAAAGTTCTGAGTTCAAGCCCCAGTACCACCCAAGGGGGGGGAAAAAAAAAACAGTCACTGGTGTCTCATGCCTGTAACCCTAGCTACTCAGGAGGCAGAGGTCAGGAGGGTCGAGGTTCAAAGCCAGCCTGGGCAAATAGTTCACAAGACCCTATCTCGAGAAAAAACCCAACACAAAAATAGGGCTGGTGGAGTGGCTCAAGGTGAAGGCCCTAAGTTCAAGCCCCAGTACTGTAAAAAAAAAAAAAAAAAAACCAGGACGTGGGTTACAGTCCCTGCTGTGTGACCTCAAGTTGTCCACCCTCTCTGGACTTCCTCTGCCTTGTTGGACCTTGAGTCCAACTGGGGGCTCGAGCAGTTCCTTTACTCAAATATGCAACAAGCATTTATGGAGCACCTGCTAATACCAGCTGGGGTACTAGGGAGCCAGCACTGGTCAAAAATCAGACCCAAATCCCTAAGGAGTTCATGTTTTACAGGCAGAATAAATGGCGATTTGTCAGACAGGCCAAGGTCTACCGGGGCATAGAAGACAGAGAGCATGGTGAGGTCTGCAAAGGGGAGACCTCCCTGAGCAGGTGCTACCCAAGAAATACTTGAGGGCGATGATGTGAGAGAGAGCTGGAGAAAGAGGGTTTGTTTCAGGTGGAAGAAACAGCCTGCGCAAAGATCCTGGGATAGGACGGAGCTTGGCGTGTTGATGGAACAGTGAGGCCAGTATGGCTGGAGGTGCAGAAGGTGGGGTGGAGAGGTAAGGGAAGGTCTGACCCTGCAGGGTTTTGTGGTCCACGGTGAGCACTTTTCTGAGCACGGCTACCCTGTTCTGAGCAGGTAGCCCAGCTAAGGTGTGAACCAGCGCCCTCTGGCGGACTCGTAGGCTGCAGGGTTGCTGTGCCAAGCCAGGTGAAACTCAGGGTGGTTGAACTGTGGGGTTCCTTTCACAGGTGGACCCATCAGGATCTGGTGGCAGGACAGGATGAGGCCTGGGAGAGGTTGAGTCAGGGACGCCTCTAGAGGAAGCGGGGGTCGGGGGTAACTTGGACAGGTTTGAGGGAAGGAGACACCTTATGTGTCCCAGGGTCAATGAAATGTCCAAGTGGGATCTAGTAGTCCTTTGGGTATTGGATCTGGGGTTCAGGAGAGGACGCGGGAGACGGGAGGGGGAAGAGGGTGGGAAGGACTGAAACTGGAGTCGCTGAAGCTGAAAGGCATCCTCCCCGGCAGGGGAAGGGGCGCGGGAGGAGCTGCACCTGAGGCCGCCCCATCCCTCCGCCCTCCAGGCTGTTCCCCTTGCAGTTCGTGCAGCTCTTCGTCCACGACGAAAGCCGCCGGCAGCTCAAGGTCAAGTTCCGCACGGGCCGCGCCTTCTACCTGCAGCTGCGCGGCCCCCGCGAGACCCGCGACCGCGCCTTCGGCCAGTGGGTGCGGCTGCTCTACCGCCTGCGCTTCCACGCGGCGCAGGGAGCCGTGCCCTTCACGCAGGAGTACGCGGCGCTGGGGGACGAGGACGACGACGAGGACGAAGAGGACGACGACGAGGAGGCGCGACTACTGCAGGAGAAGGTGAGGGCGGGGCTGGAGAGGGAGCGGGTCCCAGGGCTGAGGGCTGGGGTCTGCACCCATGGGCTGAAGGAGGAGACTGGGGTCTGGTTCCCTGGGTCTGAGGGAGGAGGCTGGGGCCTGGACTCCAGGATCTGAGGGAGGAGGCTGGGATCTGGATCCATGGTTTGTGAATATAGGTGACCCCACACACACACTTCTCCAAGTCCTCAAGAGTGAAGTCTGTGGGAAAGACGGGAGGGTCTCCCAGGAGGGTGGGTCAGCTGCCCTGGTTTTCCCAGCTAAGATGGCTCTAAGGTCTCCTTGACTTCTGAAGGGCATCTGGGAAGGACTGTCTACCTCCTGCAGGGGTGGGGGAGGATGGGAAGGCAATTCTGGAAGATGGGGCACTGGAACCTGTGGGTGTCTTCCCAGTCAATATCAGGGTCCCCTCCACCACACCTGCAGGTACCTCTGCTGGTCACGGCCTCTGAGACACACTTTCTTCTACCTAGTTTCAAACCATGGAAGTCAGACTTGACCCGCAAATCTCTGAACTCTGGGGACTCTGATCCCACCAACATCCTTGGAGCTCACCAAAGGACCAGAGATCAAAGCAAGTTACCTCAGGGTCACACAGATGAATTATTAAGTTAATAAAGATTGGGCAATTACCAACCATCAACCAGCTCCTGGGCACTTTCTCCAACATGGCCAACTCAACATGGCTGCCTCAACCAGGTCTTCAGTTAGCCATGTCTGTCTGGCCCTTGGGGCCACCATGGTGACCTGGTCCCCACTTGGACCCTCACTAGCACAACCTTCTTTTTCAGTCCAGCCTTCAGCTCATGTTTGACTTGAAGTCACAATCAACTTGCCTCTTTCCTCCCTATTGGTAATCTAAATGCTCCCATCCCATAGTCTTGGGTTCACCCTTGAAGCTTTGAGTTGCCATGGCCACGTGGAAGTTGCTCTTCCAAGATGGTGGCCCCAATATGGCCTGTTCCATTGTGGCTGCCGTTACCCACCCCAGAGTGACTAACCCCCATCAGGAGGGGGAAGAGGAGAGACATACACATTCAAGGAGGTTAGACATGGGCTAGAGGCATGTGCAAGGCCCTGAGTTCACACCCCAGTACCACCAAAAACAAGACAGGCACTCGATAGTCTGAGCAAAACCATTTTGTTGAACTCTAAGAAGGAGAACACCATCCAAAGCAGTCCAGGATTGCCTTGTCACATGGGAGACAGTGTCACTGTGGCACTGTGGGTAGAATGAGAGAAGGGTGAAGGTGGGCTCAGACTTCCTCCTAAATCCCCCAGGCCCCTCCTGCATCCAGGTGACCAGCAGGGGGCACAAGACATGTCCCCATCCAGTGCCTGTGCCTCCCCACTAAGTGACTGTGATCATTGTGACTTCCTGTTCTGTTTTCTTTCTTTTTGGGGCAGGGGAAGGAGGAAGATTGGTGGGACTGGAAGTTTGAACTCAGGGCTTCACACTTACAAAGCAGGTGCTCTACCACTTGAGCCACCCTCCAGTCCATTTTGCTTTGGTTATTTTGAAGATGAGGTCTTGCCCAGAATGGCCTCGAACCTCAGTCCACCCATCTTGGCTTCCCAAGTAGCTGGGATTACAGGTGTGAGCCACCATGCCTGGCCTGCCCTGCCTTCTCTGCAGCACACACCTGCTCCTTCCCACCTGGATCCCTGCCTGCCCAGCTCCCAAGAGGCCCTGGCCTGACTCTATCAGCCCCACTCAGCATGGGCCCCAGGGAGGGCCCGCCAGGGTGGGGACCGTGCCCTCCTCACCTCGGACATCCAGCTTGCACTCAGCCAGTGCCTCCCCCAGCTCGTTAACAGCCCGACAGGAGTAAGTCCCCGCATCAAAGGGCGAGGGCCGGCGGATGTTCAGAGTTAGGATGCCCTGGTAGTTGGTAATCAGAAATTTAGGGTCCTCACGGATTTCCATCTTGTTCTTCATCCACACCACCTTGGGCTGATTTGGGGAGCAAGAGGAGGGCAAGTTAGAGGCACGTATGAGGCAGGTGTGCATATAATCTTGGCTGTACCATCTCCTGTCTGGGTATCCCTGAACTAAGTCACTCGTGCTCTCTGACCCTCAGTCTTCTCTTTGGTAAAAACAAGTAAATGGTTTCTGCAGCCCAGGGCGGTGGTGAGAGCTTCTGCCTGTGCTCAGAATGAAGGCCTCACACCTCACAGCAGGCCTGATGTGACTTAGTCCCCATTAGTCCTCTTTTCTCAACTCCCTCTTGCACACCCCCACTCCAGCCACACTGGCTCCAGGGTGCTGTTCTTGGAGCACACCTGACTGGCTCCCTGGCATTGAGTTCCTTCTTCGAATACCACCCTCTGCTCTTTTCCCCAATTAGAACCTGACTATCCTCCACGTGTCACCTCCTGGCCCCTGAACTGGGACAGGAACACCTATTTTACACTCTCAGAACTGTCTGCACTTCTCTGCCACCATTTATAATTTTATATTATTTGTGACTTTAGATCAATGTCAATCTCCTCCCCCTCAACATTCAGAACTTCTTGTCCTATTTGCTTGGCACATAGAAAGCCCCTAAAAATGTTTGTTGAAGAAATAAATGTGAATGAATGACAATGTAAAGAGAGTGAATGAATGAACTGGGTCAATGAATGGATTGGCAGGTGAGTGAAAGGGTTGAATGAATGGATGAGTGTAGCTGGGCATGGCAGTGATGCCTATAATTCCAGCACTCAGGAGGCTGAAGCAGAAGGATCACAAGTTTGAGGCCAGTCTGGCCAGCATGGCAAGACACTGTCTCAAATTAGAGAGCAAGTGAGATAGTTGGAGAATAAAGTGGATACAGGGAGATGACGAAAGTGGACTGAGGAGTCTGTAATTTCTCTAATGGAGCTGTAGCTAAAAATCTGGAGTCTAAACCAGAAGGGGGCATACTTGTCTATAAAGGGACAGACTGTGACTGTGGGCTTTTCAGGCCCTACAGTCTCTTGCAGCTACTGTGTCACTGTAGAGCAAAAGGTAAGTGTTTGTGGCCCCCATGCCAATAAAACTTTACTGAGAGAAACAGATGGCAGGCAGACTTGTCCCACAAGTGTAGTTTGCCAAGCCCTGGACTACATGGGTTCGTGCTACAAGGAAGCAGCCTAAAACCCAGGGCAGAGGAAGCAGGAAGACCCTGGGGAGCATAGGGGTGTAGACCACTCCCCGCTCAGTTTTCCAAGCGATTAGCATTTGCCTTTGGACAGGAGAAGACTGAATGACCCTCTCCTTAGGCTGCCCAAAACAGTGGGAAGACAGAGTATAAACCAGGCATGGTGGTGCATGCCTGTAATCCCAGTACGTGGGAGGCAGAGGCAGGAGGATCAGGAGTTCAAAGCCAGCCTGGGCAAAGTTAGGGAATCCCTGAGAACATGTCTTATAAGCAAAGTCTAAACAAAAGGGCTCAGTGGTGGAGCTCTTGCCTAGCCAAGGAGATCCTGGGTTCCATCCCCAGTACCACAAAAACAAAACCAAGCAAAAATTGAGTAGGCTCTGGCCAAGGAGGAGAGACACAAGTGAGAAACAGGAGTAGCTGTGGAGGACCTGGTGTGGTGAGCCTGGGGCTGTGCTGTGTTTAAGCATGGTCCCATGCACATGACACACACAGATCTGATCCCAGCCCCAGCACCTTGGGGTAGCCTCTGACGGCACAGTTGAGGGCTGCAGTGTATCCAGCCACCACTACCCGGTCTATCAGGGGCGTCAGGAACTTGGGAGGCGTCCGGAAGTCATGCTCCTTGTACTCAAATGGTTTCAAGGTGATTCCTGGTTGGGGAGATATGCTTGTAAGTTGAGCACTGTCACCTCACCCTTTGCCAGGTGCCATCAACTTCAAGTCCCAGGGAGAGGGGTGGGTGAATGGAGTCCAGGCTGCACCCGAGCTGCAGAGCCCTGGAGGGGGGTGGTGGCACCTGTCTTGAGGATGTGGGCGGTGTTCTTGGAGACCCCAGGGGAGTCACTGAGCCCACAGAAGTTTTCGCTGAAAACACGGAAGTAGTACTCATTGCCCACAATGAGGTCAGAGATGGTGCAGCTGGTGTGTCGGTTGTGTTCATATACGGTGAACCACTCCTAGGGCAGGGACAGAGGGACAGACACAAAGGAACACAGACACAGGAGGGACAAGGGATAGGAGAAAAGCACAGACGAGTGTTGAGAAAGTCAATGATTTATAGTAGCATCATCCACAATTGCCAACAGGTGAAAACAACCCAAGTGTCCATCAACGGACCAATGACAAGCAAAATAAGGTCTAGCCAGGCTATGGAATATTATTTATCCCCAAAAAGGGAAAAAAGTGCTGACATGTGCATTTGGAAGACATGATGCTCAGTGAGAGACTCTAGACACAAAAATCACATATTACAAGATTCCATTTACGTGAAATGTCCAGAATAGACAAATCCATAGAGATGGAGATGGGTGGTCTCCAGGCAGTGCCGGGGTAAAAAGAGGACTACAAATTGGGACAGGGTTTCCTTTTGGGGTAATGAAAGTGAGTTGGAACTGGACAATGGTAGTGTCTGCACAACTTTGGAAATGTGCCACAAGCCATTAAATTGTTCACTTTTTAAAATGGTTTACTGGAGCCAGGTACAGTGGCTCACACCTGTAATCCTAGCTACTCAGGAAGATCGAGGTTCAAAGCCAGCCAGGGCAAATAGTTCATGAGAACCTATCTCGAAAAAAACCATCACAAGAAAAAAGGGTTGGTGGAGTGGCTCAAGGTGTAGGCTCTGAGTTCAAACCCCAGAACCACAAAAAAATAAATAAAATGGTAACTGGAGCCAGGTGTGGTGGTGCACGAACATAATCCCAGCACACAAGATGCTGAGACAGAAGGATCTTGAGTTCAAAGTCAGCTTCGGCTACATAGACCTTGTCTCCAAAAAAACCAAATAAATACATAAACAAAACAGTTACTGGTCAATTTTGTTCTGTGAGCTTTTACCTCCACAACAACAAAATACCTTCATGCACCAAGTCTCAGCCCAAGGCTTCCTTCCCTGCCCAGTCTCAGCCTCAGCCTCCCCAGCTGTGCATTGGAGACACCCCACCTCACCTGTGCTGCTCCCCAGAGGCCCCCCACCCCGCCTGTGCTCTCACCATGGTCTTCTTGTCCGCTTTCTGGACGAAGTACCCCGTGATCTCACTGTTACCGTCGTCCTTGGGGGGCTGCCACTCCACCAGGGCATTAGTGCCCCACACCTCCTTCACCATCACGTTCTGGGGGGGCCCTGCCTTTTCTGGAAGGACAGGCGGCTATGAACCAGCCCTAGGTGCCCCATGTCCTCTTCTTCTGCGCCTGCCCCTCCCTCCCTCTCCTGATTCCAGAATCTCTAGGGCCCTTCCCCACACCCATTTCTTCAACCTTTTGCCCCATTTCCACCTTGTGCTCTCTGTTCCAAGCCTCCTTCCTTCCTCCCCTCCCTGGCCACTCTCCCTTCCTCCCCTCCCCAACCCCTCCCCCACTGTCACCTGTCCTCCCCTCTCTGGACACTCTCACCTCCTCCCTGCCCAGCCCCTCCCTGCCGTCACCTGTCTCATCTCTCCGCCCCTCCCCCCACCCCCTAACCCCCCGCCGCGCACCCACGACGCGGATGCGGACGATGGCCGTGTCCTTCATGTTCTCGATGAGCACGCTCAGCTCGTACTCCCCCGAGTCGGAGCGCGCAGCCTGGCGCACGAAGAACACGGTGTCGAAGTCGCTGGTGCGCACGTGCACGCGCGACGTGTCCACGGGGGCCCCGCCCTTGGTCCACACCACCTGCGGCCGGGGCTTGCCCTGGTGGGGAGAGAGGACCGGGATGACAGGGTCAGCATGAGCTGAGGGCGGGCTGGGCTTGGAGGAGCTGACCCTGACCCTGACCTTGACCCCGGGGCCCCAGCTCCCATACCTGGAAGGGGATGACAAGGTTGAGATGTTCTCCCACTTTCCGGATGTAGGTCTGGCGCAGGTGGCGGGGGAGGCGGATCTTGGGCTGCTCTGAGGGCACCAATACAGGGAGAGGGCTCAGCGCAGGACTGGGGGGTCATTCCAGGTCCATGAGGTCATTTGGGGGAAGCCCAGATGGAAGGACCCAGACTTGGGCTTCAGGAGGGCTGGGTCAGGGCTTGCTCACTCACCTACAATCTCCCTGATGGTGACTGGCTGGATCAGGGTGGCCGGCAGGCTGCGACCTGCGATGTTCACCCCAACTACCCGGAAAAAGATTCTGGCTCCAGTTGGGAGATCCTTTATGGTGAAGCCACATCGCTCCACGGGCTCCTTGTTAGCAGGGATCCATTCCTCCGCTAAAGAGAGGGGCCATGTGGTGGGCATCAGGGCCTTCCTCCAAGCCCAGCACACCTTCAGCTCATTGTGCCTTCTGGTGACCTAGTCCCCACCATAGTGAATGCTGGGAAAATGCCCAGCAGAAAGAGCAGCAGAAAGGCCAATGTGGTGACACATGCCTGTAATTCCAGCTACTCTGGAAATGGAAGCAGGAGGATGGAGAATTTGAGGCCAGCCTGGGCAAAGTTAGGGAGGCTCTACCTCAAAAGCCAAAAAAACCCAAAAGGGCTGGGGAGTGTAGCCCAAGTGGTAGACACTTTCTCAGCAAGAGGAAGACCCTGGGCTTCAACTACTGGCTAAGTATTCACTGTAACCAGGTTCTGAGGCCACACAGGTCAATAACGCATCATTCCTGCCTCAACCTTATGTCATCCCATTTCAGGGGGAGGAAACTCAGGCTCAGAGAGGCTAAGGAGCATTCCAAGGTCACACAGCTAAGGATGGCGGAGTGGGCAGCTGAACCCAGGTCCATCTTCTAAACGCTGCTGGCTACTGAGGCAGCTGAGGGGAGTGGGGAGCAGGTGGCTCTGCCCATGGGCACAGCGGGGGGAGCTTTGGAACAACACTGGACGGGTATTGGGTGGTGCTTAGAACTGGATGAATTTCCTGCCTCTTTTTCTGTGCCTTTCTTTTCTTTCCTTTTTTTCTTGAGACAGGGTCTCACTATGTGCCTGGAATTCAAAATCCTCCTGTCTCAACCTCCTGAGTGCTAGGTTTATAGATGTGCATCACAACGCCCAGCTTTGTCCTGTGCCTTTCTGTCAGGTTTATGGTGATGTGTTGGTGAGCCCATGTGGGTCACACCAACCACCGAGGGCATCTGGTCAGGGTGGGAACAGGTAGAGAGTGCTGGGAAGAGGCAGAGGGAGGAACGGACAAGCATTCAAGTGGCTGTCATTTCCAGACACTGCCCGATGTGGTGCTCATGGTACGCTGTCAAGATGGGGACTGCCTTTGTCATTTTAAGATGAAGGTACTGAGGCTCAGAGATGCGCCCAAGGTCACACAGTCACAAAGACAGTGGCAGGGTGGGAGTCCATGGCTGCCTGTCTTCCAGGCCTGGAATGGTATTGAGGTGGTCACGTCTGTCCTTGCAGCGAGATGGCCACATTGGAGCCATCCCCAGAGCTGTGGCCCGGTAGTCAGTCAGCACTCAATGGGTGTGTGCTCAGTGGGTGTGTGCTCAATGGAGGGCGGGGACTGGATGTATGGAAATAAGAATGATGGGGCTGGGGGAGTGGTAGAGTGCCTACCTAGCATGAGGACCTGAATTCAAACCCCAGTCCCACAAAAGGAAATATGGATGATGGATGGACAAGTGGAGAGACCACAGTTAGATAGACAGATGGGTGGATGGCCATATGGGTGGAAAGAAGAAAGGGAAGGAGAGAAGGAGACAGGTTAGTTGGTGGACAGATAGATATACAGATGAAAATGATGTTATGGATGGATGGATGGACCAAAAGATTTTCAGGTGGATAGAAGTGTGGGTGGATGACTGATCAGGCAAGTGGAAGGAAGGGAGGGGAAAGAGGAGAGAGAAATAAATGGGTACAGGGAAGGCAGCACATCTGGCTGCTTGGATGAATCACCAGTCAGATGGAGGAGGACAGTGGTTGGATGGAGAAGCAGAAGGAAGGAAGAGGCACACAGGGTGTAGAGAAATGGACAGAGGAATGGCTGGGTGAAGTCACTGTTGAACAGAGAATGGAGATGGGGAGGGAGGGAGGACAAGCTGGTCACTAGGGTCTGGCTTGACTCTGGCACACACAGCAAGGACAGCCCACTGCTCTAAGTGCCTCCTCCTGCCGGACCCACGCTCAGCTCCCTGGCCTGGGCGCCCTCTGGGCTGTGTGGGGGCCACTCACAGCCTTCCAGGCAGTACTCCACCAGGTATCCATCTATGCCGCCTGCCCCGATTCGATTTGGAGGCCTCCACTTGAGTGTGGTGGTGGTGTCTGTCACGTCCTCCACTGTCAGGTGCAGGGGTTCACTCGTGGGTGCTGTAGGGACCCAGGGAAAAGGAAACAGGGGTAAGTGAAGGGTCAGGGGTCAGAGTGGACTCACTGGACAGTAAAGGGATCATTGTGGTGGTCAGCAAGTGAGGAATGTCATCAAAATGGTGGCACATGCTTGTAATCCCAGCACTCAGGAGGCTGAGGCAGGACGATGTATATATAGAGAGATATAGATATACAGATATATAGATATAGTGAGATCCTGTTTCAAAAAAAAAATCTCAAGGGAGGACAGTCTCCAAGGTCAGGAGTAGGTGTGAGCTAAGGTCCCAGGGCGAGGGTCAGAGATCAAGGAGGGGCGGTGCGTGGATCAGAGGTTGTCAGGCTGCCACGGGGCGTCCTGGGCATTACCAATTGGCATGAAGGGCTTGGTGTTCATGCTGGGCTGGGAGACCCCAATGGCATTGACAGCAAACACCCGCATCTCATATAGAATGCCCTCGATCATCTTGGTGGACTCGTAGGTTGTCTCCGTGAAGACCTCAAAGTTGAGCTTCATCCAGCGCTGGGAGCCCTTCTTCTTCCGCTCCAAGAGGTACCCTGGAGGTGCCCCCCAAAACAGAAATGGGGGTTATGGGGTCACACCATGACAATCAGTACAGTGAGGGTCCCACTAAAGGATCACATAAACCACAGAAGTCTGAGGTTGCACATTAGGTTGACCTTTGGGGTCACAGAGCATTCTGAGGCTACCAGTCGTGGGACTGGGGATCAATGACAGTCCCAGGTTGTAGCGAGTTTTCTTGCGCTCTGTTCCTACTGAACCTAACTAGGGGCAATGGGTGATGCAGAAATGACAAACAACAGAAGACAGACATGCAGAAAGCTGGGGCCAGGTGCGCTGGGCGCTCAGATGGAAACGCACAGCAGCCTTGTTGCTTTTTTACTTTTCTTCTTTTACTCTGCTTCTTTTCTCTGTCTTTAAAACCTTACTCCTAAAGTCTTCTTTTGCTGGGGGCATGGCTCAAGTTGTAGAACGCCTGCCTAAAGTCTTCTTTTCTGTTCTTTAAGTTCTCTTTCCTTAGACTCACACTGTCCCATGTTTTCTTTAATCTCTCTTAAAGTCTCAGTGCTCAGACTTGCACTGTCCCATGTTTCCTCTAATTGCTAGCATAACTCAGCAGCCCACCAATCAATCAACCCCTATCAAAAAAAAAAAAAAACCTTCCATCAATCCTCCATTGAAAAACCCGAGTCCTCCTTCAGTGAGTCTTTTATATCCAGTGGTAAACAGGAGGAGGAGCAACAGTTCTCAGAGAGGCGTGACATTGTAACAAGAGAAACCTGTGTTCCTACTTCTCTGAATATAAACATCTTAGGAAAAGCAGCTGTGCTGCATTTTGCCTCTCCCTCTCTTCTGCGGCCGGGGCTGTGCCAAACTCAGCCTGTAGATCATTGAGCGCAACTGTGCTCATGTCAAGTTCTCATAGGCTTCTCGTAATCTGCTCCCCACACCAGGTCATGAATCAGGGGGTCAGGGGTCACAGAAAGCCCCAGGCTACGGGCCAAAGTGAGACTTATTCCCAGGTCATTGGGGGATAAAGAACAATGGAAAGCCAGGCATGGTGGTTCATGCCTGTAATCCCAGCTGCTCAGGAGGTGAAGGTAGGAGGATCACAGCTCAAGACCAGTGGGCAGAAAGTGCAAGACTCTATCAAAAAACAAATTAAAAGCAAAAGGGCAGGAGGGGGAGGGCTAGCTCAAGTGTTAGAGCACTTGCCTAGAAACATGATGTCCTGAATTCAAAATCCCAGTACCACCAAAAAAAAAATGGGATATGATGGGCCTGGGGGGGCAATGATGGAAACCCAGGTCCCAGGGGAAAGCAACAGGTGACAAGGGCTTCTTAAGGGGTCCAGAGGATGTCAGGGAACCTTAGAGGGCACAGGGACACTGGAACGTGGGACTCACCAGTGACTGGCTGACCCCCATCATATTTAGGTGCCTCCCAGACCAGGATGGCCCAATCCTCACCAACTGAGGTGACACGCACTGCCTCTGGAGGGTCAGGGACATCTGGGGAGGGGACAAAAGAGAGTCAGGTGGCCCCTGGAGATCTTCGGGAGTCACCCCATGTCTTGGTCCCCTCAGCTCTCTGCTCACCCACGACCCGCAGGAAGATGGAGGCCATGTCCTCGCCCACGGGGTTGGTGACCTTGATGGTGTAGCGGCCCTCATCCACCCGCTCGGCGCTCTCGATCACAAAGCTGCTGTAGTCTGGCCGCTGCTCGATGCGGATCCTGCCCTCAGTGGCCGAGAACACCTGGACACAACCACCAGGAGGCTTGCTGGCGTTAGGTTCCCCAGGCCCAGATATGCCTTGGTCCCTCCCCTGCTCCAACACCGCCAGTGGCTCCCTATTGCCACAGGGACTGGATTCAGCATGAGAGGCCCTTCTGGATTCAACACTGCTCATCATGCTCACTGCCCACCTCACCTTGCACACGACATCCTTCTCTCAAACACGGGTCCCCTTGAAAGGCTGTTTCCTGGTGCTCTTACAAATCCTTAGGACCACACAGATAGAAGTCACCTTTCCCAGGAAGGAATCTTGAATGCTCCCAGGTGAAAATAATGACTCCATCCCTCCAAATTTCCATAGCTCCTGCGCCCACTCTTTTAACTTTTTTGGTGGTATTGGGGTTTGGACTCAGGGTCTGGTGCTTGCTAGGCAGGTGCTCTGCCACTTGAGCCACTCCCCCAGCCTTCAAATCAGGTCTCAAGCTTTTACCTGCAGCCAGCATTGAAGCATGATCCTCCTACCTCCACCTCCCGAGTAGCTAGGATTATAGGTGTGCACCATCACACCCAGCCCCTGAATCCACTCTTTATCTCAGCTCTGCCCATCCTAGCCTGCTATTAATTGAGTAGCATCTCCCCAGGAGGGAAGGCCCTGGAGCTGGGACCGGGGCTGCTTTGTGGTTGTAACCTCAATGCCCAGCCCCCCCAGCCCCCACAGAGAACACTCAGAGGAGCTGTGAGTGAAGGACGGATGAAGACAGAGACACCGCACGGTTGGAGAACTGGACTGATGGATGGATAGACAGACAAGGGGATTCATTACTGAATGGGTGGATGACCGGATGAATTAATTAATCACTTCACAGAACAGAACACTAGACATTGCTATGGTTTGCATAAATGGCCCTCAAAGGTCCACATGTGGAAGGCTGGCCCCCAACTCACAATGCTACGGGGAGGAGGTGGAGCCTTTAACAGGTGGGGCCTCAAGGGAGGAAGTCCAGTCACTGGGACAGGGCCTCAAAGAGGTAGTGCAGCCCTGGCCCTGCCCGTTCAGCTCTCTGCTTCCCAGACATCAAGAGGAGATCATCCTGATCCACCTCACCATCAGGTTCTGCCTCACCACGGGTCCAATGACAATGGGGCCAAGTGACCGTGGATGGAAACACGAGCCAAAAGCAAATCTTTTATCTTATTAAGCTGATTTATGTCAGGGATTTGTTACAATAATGAGAAGCTGGCTAACAAAGCACAGAGGAGAGATGACATGTGACGTGCTCAAGGAACTAGAACATAAGAAGTTGAAGTACTTGGTGGATGGACGGATGGATGGATAAACAGATAGGTGGATGGATGGATGATGGATGGATGGACAGATGTGTGAATGAATGAATGGACAGATGGATGATGAGTGAATGAGTGGATGAATGCACAGATGGATGGATGAATCTGTGGATGGACAGATGAATAGATGGATGAATGAACAGATTGTCGGACAGATGCAAGATGGATAAATGTGTGGATGGAAGATGGATGGATGGATATATGGACAGATGGATATGGATGAATGGATGATCAGATGGATAAAGAGATGGATGGATGAATGGATGGATTGGTCCATCCTTGATTAATTACCTTTGGTCCATCCTTGATTAATTACCTTTGGATGAATGGACTAATGGATGGAGTGCCCACCATAGGCTAGCCCATACCAGATGGTGGACAAATACAACCTCCAATCTTCGGAACAACGCCATGAGGAAGGAATCTTCGTCCTGACTTCCCAGAGGATGCAACTGAGGCTCAGAGAGGGAAAACAACTTGCCTGGAATCACCCAGCTGGAGCCGAAAAGAAGAGGAACTCAGGGGAAGCCAACCTACCTCATCTCCCTTCAGCCAGGTGGCAACGGGAGGGGGCTCCCCTGTGATGGACACGTCCAGCCGCAGCTTGTTCCCAGCCACAACGATAATCGAGTTCTCTGAGGTCGTCCCTGAACAGTCCAGGTGGATCTTCGGGGGTTCTGGGGATACAGAAGAGGCACTGGGGACCTGGGAGAGGGGAATAGAGGCTTTCCTCCAGTCCCCCCACAGGATCCCCCAAGCTAGGTCCCAAGGACAGAAGAGACCCAGGGGTCCAAACCCAGCCCTTCTCCCTCAGCTCCAGGGGTCCAGGCCCCACCTCCTCCCTCACACCCAGCGGTTCAGGCCCTGCCTGCTGGAGCAGTGCCGATCCTTACCTTGCTTGGGCACGTACTCCACCTTGATCTCTGGAAGACAAGGAGCATGCGTGGTTAGGTCTACACCCTCAGGCCCCTCATTCCATCTTCCCAACCTGAGACAGAGGCAAGCATCTGACAGAGGAAAGCATCTGGCAGAGGCTGGGGTCTGGGTTGCCGTGGGGCCCATGACTCTGCTGACCCCTCATGTGGACAACACTCCCTCTGTCCATCTTCTCTGACTCCACCCGTGAGCTCCGCAGACACCTGCTGTCCCCCCACAAACACACTGCTCTCTTAGGGACATTAAATCCAGCGGGGTGGCATCCCGGGGTCTGCAGCCTGGAAGGGTGGGTCCTACATCCCCAGGGCAAAAGGAGACAGGGTCTTCACCCAGGAAGTTGAGCTTGGCCGACAGGGACAGGGCATAGCCATCAGGCACGAAGGTGTAATCCCCCTCATCCTCAGGGCGAACGTCATCAATGACCAGCTTGTGGAACCTAAAGGGTGGAGGAGCAGAAGGGGGTCAAGCCAGTTCTGCCTCTGAACTTCCCTCATTGCCACCCTGAGAAACACCCACCTCAATGCATCCTACATGCTCACCATTTTTATTTGGAGTTTTGGAAGCTCTGGCCTGGGTTCAAATCCCACTCACTGTGTAATAGTAGGTAAATTACTTTACCCTTATATATGGGTGTTTCTTCACCCATACATAAGGGGAATGATAACAGTCTACCTCAGGGTGGTTGTAAAGCCTCTGCAGAAATAACTGGAGCCCAGGAAGTGCCCTGTACATCTGGACTGATAGTATCAGTGCCACCTTAGTGTGTCATTCTTTACACAGAGCAAAGACAGAGCCTACATACTACAAGAGCTGTCACCAGGAATCTCACATGGCGTGACTATGGTGTGCTGGTGTCATGGCTCTATGCATTCTGCACAAGTCCTGTTGAATTTCAGTATCTTGTTTTCACAATGTGGACCATTTACAATACATATGAACCCAGGGCTGGATGTGGAAGCTCACACCTGTAATCCCAGCAACTCTGTAGGCTGAGGAAGGAGGATCTTGAGTTCTAGACCAGCCCAGGCAAATTTATTGAGACCGTACCTCAAAAACAAAATACAGCCAGGCGCTGGCAGCTCACATCTGTAATCCTAGCTACTCAGGAGGCTGAAATCAGGAGGATTGCGGTTTGAAGCCAGCCCAGGGCAAATAGTTCACAAGACCCTATCTTGAAAATACCTAACACAAAAAATTGCTGATGGAGTGGCTCAAGGTGTAGGCCCAGAGTTCAAGCCCTGGTACCACAAAAAAAAGAAAAAAATACAAACAAAAGGGCTAGGGGAGTGTCTTAATGGGTAGAGCACCTGCCTAGCATGAATAAGGCTGTGAGTTCAATCCCCAGTACTGAAAAGAAAAAAAACACCAGTGAGTTTGTTACGAAGTTACAGCTAACTGATACACACAGCATGCCTGCCACCACCATCTCCACAGCCACCTCCTCACCTGCCCACGTGGGAGATGGTGATCCTTTTGCTCGGCCGCACCTCCACCCCATTTTTGTACCACTTTCCTGTCACCTTCTCATCAGACACCTCACACTTGAACACCGCCTGTTCCGAGGCCTTCACAGTGAGGTCGGCAATGCCTTGCAGGACCTCAAGCTGTTTCTCTGGATGGAAAGGAAGGGAGCTGAGGCCATGGCTACACCAGTCAGGCTATGAGTACTTGTTCTGGGTGATCGGAATACAGCCATGAACAACCCAGAAACAGCCTGTGACCTTGGAGAAGTTGCATTCCAGCAGGAAGACAGTGAACAAGGAAAGGCCACCATGAGAGAGTGAGGTGTCCTGACCACAGCAAGGCAGGAGAGAATCCACACAGGATATGGAAGGCTCTCCCAGGAATGGGGGAACAGCATGTGCAAAGGCCCTGGGCTCCATCCCCAGCACCTCTAAATAAATAAATAATAAATAAATAAAAAGGAACAACAGGCTTGCTGGATTCAGGAGCCACAAGGCCAGGGTGGAGGGAGGGAGACAGATGTTCTGCTAGGAGCAAGACAGACAGCAGCAGACAAGCATCATAGAGATGACCCTGCTTTGGCTCTGAGTGGGGTGGGGTCACCAGAGGCTGTTGTAAAAAGGAAGTGGGATCTGACATTCAAATTCTCATTTATTTTTAAAATCAGCTGGGCATGGTGGCACACACCTATAATCCCAGCTCTGGGGAAGGTGAGGCAGGAGGATAGTGAGTTCAAGGCCAGCCTGGGCTACACAGACATTCTGGCTCACTAAAACAAAAAAGCTGGGCTGCGGTGGCTCACACCTGTAATCCTAGCTACCTGGAAGGCTGAGATTGGGGATGATCGAGGCTTGAGGCCAGCCAGGGCAAATAGTTCTCAAGGCCCCATCTCCAAAACAAGCAAAGCAAAATGGACAAGAGGGGGGCTCAAGTGGTAGAGTGTCAGTTTTGCAAGCGTGAAGCCCTGAGTTCAAACCCCAGTGCCACCAAAAAGAAATTAATTAATTAAAAGATAAGACAAGCGGCTCAGTGGTAGCAAGCACAAAACATGGGTTCCATCCCCAGTACAATAAAAAATAAAATTTTTGTTGTCGTTGGTAGTACTGGGGTTTGACCTCAGGGCCTCACACTTGCTTAACAGGTGCTCTACCACTTGAGCCAAGGTCCCAGATAAAAAAATAAACAAAAAAACCCTTTAAATTAGAAAATGCATTTCCATGGTTTAAAACAAAATGATGGTAGGATTTAGACAGAGAGGAGGAAAGGACTCCCTCCTTCCTTGGGTCACCTTGGGTCCCTCTCCAAAGGCCATAGTCGCTCAGTCTCTAGCTATAAAAGCAAATTATTTTGTCCCCAGGGGTCTCCAGACTCCCGGCTGGTGTCAAACTGTGGGGAGGTTCAAGTCCCTTATATTAAAATGGTGTAAATCAGGCGCAGGTGGCTCATGCCTGTAATCCCGGCTACTTGGGAGGCTGAGATATTGGGAGAATGGCGGTTCGAGGCCAGCCCCTCCTGGAGGCTGTACCTTCCACGATGAGGTCGGCCTCGCACTGGCCACCGTTGGTTATGACCTGGTAGCGGCCCCTGTCATCCTGACTCACATCGGAGTAGATGAGAATGTGGCGCTTGCCATCCTTCTTGAAGCGGTACCGGGCCTTGAAGGAGTCCTCCCGTGTCAGTTCCACGCCATCTTTCATCCTGGAGAAAGGAGGCACGAACAGGGAAGTGAGGCGCCAGCAAGAGTCTGGCCCCTGACTCACCTGGCCTCCCAGGTGAGTCAGGGGCCACAGCAGAGAGCTGTCAACCATTACAGACAGTGTTTCCCCTTTGTGGGACACCCTGAGTCCCACGTCATCTGTACACACTTGTCACTCAGATCTCAGCCTTTGCTGGCCTCCTGAGTCCTTTTGTCCTTCGAAAAGTTCTTCTAGCATCCCTTCCTGTTCCTTTTAGTCATGTGTCAAAGTAGAACTTTTCTATTTATCTGTGTGATGACTTGACTAACGCCTGTCTCTGTCTCCTCCACGTATGCTCCTCCACATTACAAATGCCATGAAGGCGGCTACCAGCCTGGTTTTTGTTTCTTCCCACCATAGCTCTGGTATGTAGAAGACTCTAAATACACAGTAGGTGCTCAAGAAATGCTTGCTGGATGGGCAGAGGGATGTAGGGATGGATGGATGGGCGGATGGATGGATAAGTGGGTGCGTGGGTAGATGGCTGACTGGAGAGATGGGTGGTGGATGGATGAGTGGATGGATGGTTAGATGACTACTTGAATGGACAGTGGATGCAGGGATGAATCAGTGGGATGAATGGATGGTCAGAGGATTGAATGAATGGAGAGAGGGATGATGGATGGATGGAGGTGAATGGAGGGAAGAATGGATGGTGAGTGGGAGAGGGGCAATGGAGGGATAGAGGGAGAGAATGGGAGGATAGGATAGATGCATCCATGGATGCATGGATGAGTGATAGAGGGAGGGATGGGGAAAGGAGGAATGGAGGGATGGGTGGATGATAAATGGATGGGAGATGGAGGAAAGGATGGATGGATGGATAGATGGATGACGGATAGATGGATGGATGGAAGGATGGGTGGATGATGGATGGATGGAAGAATGGATAGATGGATGGATGGAAGGATGGATGGATGGATGGATGGGTGGATGGAAGGATGGATGAATGACGGATGGAAGGATGGATGGATGGATGGATGGAAGGATGGGTGGATGATGGATGGATAGAAGGATGGATAGATGGATGGATGGAAGGATGGATGGATGATGGATGGATGGATGGATGGAAGGATGGGTGGATGATGGATGGATAGAAGGATGAATGATATAGATGATGAATGGATGGAAGAATGGATGGATGAATGAAGCATGGATGGATGGATGATGGATGGATAGATGGATGGATGGAATGATGGGTGGATGATGGATGGATGGAAGAATGGATGGATGGATGGAAGGATGGGTGGATGGAAGGATGGGTGGATGATGGATGGATAGAAGGATGGATAGATGGATGGATGGAAGGATGGATGGATGATGGATAGATAGAAGGATGGATAGATGGATGGATGGAAGGATGGGTGGATGATGGATGGATAGAAGGATGGATGATATAGATGATGAATGGATGGAAGAATGGATGGATGAATGAAGCATGGATGGATGGATGATGGATGGATGGAAGGATGGATGGATGGATGGATGGGAGGTGAACGATGGATGATGAACGAGTGTGTCACAGGTGGATGAGCCAAAGGACAGATGACTGATTGAGTATTTATTCTAAATGGCTAGGTGGGTGGAAGGATGGATGATGGATGAACAAGTAGGTGTTTAGATGGTTAGGTGGATGGATGGATGGATGGATGGATGGATAGAAGGAGTATACAAATATTTAATAAAACAGCATGGAACAGGAGAAGTCTGAAGAGGAGGGTAGAGTGTAGAGGTCAGAAGTTCTCTCAGGAGGCTGGGGTCTCCTGCTGCCTACCTCCTGGGGGGGGTGGTCTCAGTTTCCATAAAGATCAGGGCTGAAGCAAAAAGCTTGGGCACCTGTGTGCAGACTGGGGACCAATGAAAGACATTTACCACATGACCTGGGCACCTTCTTCCGACACCTCTACCACCATTTCCACGCGGTCACCCACAAACACTTGCTGGTCCTCCAGGGGTGTGACGATCAGGACTGGAGGCTCTGTGTGGTGAGGGGACAGGAGGTCAGCAGTGTGGGACCGTGTACGCCCTCCCACGCTCTGGCCAGAATCCTGCCTCACCTTTGACAAAGAGCTCGGTGAAGCACTTCTCGTCCTTGACGGCCACCTCGTACGCCGCGTCATCGGCCAGCGTGCACTTGTTGATGGTGAGAATCCGCTTCTTGCCCACGTTCTCAAACACATACCTGGGAAGAGGCCCGCTCAGCACCAGCACAGCGCAGCCAGTCGCCAGCTTGGTCAATTGTGCCCAAGGCAATAGAAGGTCCCCTCCTCCCTTCCCTCCCTCCTTTGTTCCCTCCTTCCTTCCTTCCTTCCTCTCTCTCTCCCTTCCTCCTCCCTTCCCTCCTGCCTCCCCTCCTCCCTTCCTTCTTTCCTCCCTTCCCTCTTTCCTTCCTTCCTTCCTTCCTCCCTCCCTTCCTCCTTCCTTCCCTACTTCTTTCCCTCCTCCCTCCCCTCCTTCCTCCCTTCCCTCCTCTTCCTTCCTTCTTCCCTTCCCTCCCACCATTCCTTCCTTCCCTCCCCTCCCTCTCTCTTCCCTCCCCTCCTTCCTTCCTTCCTTCCCCCTTGTTCCCTCCTTCCCTCTCTCCTTTCCTCCCTTCCTATATTGGACTTTGAATCTAGGGCCTCACACTTGCTAGGCAACTGCTCTACCACTTGAGCTATGCTCCCCCTGCCCTTTTGTTTGTGTTCTATTTTGAGATAGGGTCTCACCAACCTTGCCCAGTCTAGTCTTGAACTAGACTCCTGCCTCTGCCTTCCAATACGTAGGATTACAGGTGTGCACTACTATGACTGGCAATGGACTTTCTCCTCTTTCCTGTCAGCTGGAACACAAATGTGCCCACAACTCAATAATACAGTGCCACATGAGACTGTGTGGCTAACAATATAACAATAACAGATCCTGGATCCCCAAATAATCTCAGAGGAGAGCTAGCTCACTAGCCTCAATTGGCTGGAGAAATACTCCTCTCTAACTTAAATGTAGTTGAGGGACTCTCTTGTTATGGCAACTTTACCTATACCTTAACTCACATTAACCACTTCGCCTTGACTGGGTGCTGGCGGCTCACGCCTGTAATCCCAGCTACTCAGGAGGCAGAGATCAGGATGATCGTGCTTTGAAGCCAGCCCCGGCAAATAGTTCTTGAGACCCTATCTCAAAAATATGCAACACAAAAAAGGGCTGGCAGAGTGGCTCAAGAGGTAGAGCACCTGCCTAGTTAGCATGAGTCTCTGAGTTCAAACCCCAATACTGACAAAACAAATTAAAAGGTTGCTCTCTCTGGATACACACACACACACACACACACACACACACACACACACACACAGCAAGTGCCCGTGCATACTTGCTGCTTGGCTTTATCTCCTGGCCATTCTTGAACCACTTAAGTGGAAGGTCTGGATCACTGATCTCTACCACCAACTTGATCTTGTTACCCCTGTCCACCTGGTAGGCCGGGTCCAGCTTCTTCGTGAAGGCTGGAAATTGAGAGAGACCCAAGAGATGGAGAGGAGAGTCCCTCACTGCCATGGCCAAGCCAACCTCCCAGACCCTGGGCTCTCCAAGGTCAAGGACCTCCTACGAACACGGGAGATCACTCCTCAGACTGAGACCTCCAGAGGATAGATCCAGGGTGCAGATGTCCCCAGCACTAGGGTCTCCTGGGCAGGGCCCATCTCCCTGGGGCCAGCACTGACCTGCACTCTTCTTGACCTCAACCTTGGCCTTCTTGAGCCTCTTCAGCATGCCCCGGAGGTCAGTGATGCCATACTGGAAGGCGATTTTCTCGTACTCGCTCTTCTTTGCCCCTTTCAAGAGTTCCCAGATCTCTGGTGGGATGCCCAAATCATCGTCATCTTTCTTTTTCTTCTTCTTCTCCTCCTCCACCACCTCCCTGAAGGCAGGGGACAGGCAGGGACACCAGGAGTGAGGAGGTGAGGGTCTCCCTTTGCCTCCTTGGCTGGCTTGCTGTGTGACTCACTGAAGTCACCTGCTTCCTCTAGGCCTTATTCTTTCCCACCTGCCTCAGCCTTCTCCTGGGCCTCCTGACTTCTGGTCATTTCCCTTCCAGTCTGTTCCCCACATAGCCCCCAAGGGGTAATTCCAACATCCACATCAGAAACCCTCTCTTTCTTGTTCAGAAATCTGCTGTGGCTCCCTATTGCCCTCGGGAAGAATCCCCAGCTCCTCAGCCTAGCAATCTTGGACCGACCCCACCTATCACCACCACCAGCAACCATCCAAGCTAAGTTATATGCCTTGTGCTTAACACTCCGGTCTCTGTCCTGCCTCCCACTCCTTGTGAAAATGTCTCCCTGCCTCATGCCCCCTCTCCTCCTTCCCTTCCCACCCTACAAAACCTAGTACCAAAATTGCTTCCCTATGAGGTAGTCCTGTCCTGAAAGCAGTGCCTTGCCCTGCCCTGGGCTCTCGTAGGCCCCTGGGAACACTTCCTCTGATCTCACCAAACAGTCTCACTCTGGGCCCACGTTCTTGGGCCCAATCCACCTCCCCAAGGCTCTGCGGGACTCAACAGCCAGCACCCCATGGAGCCGCTCTCAGCCCTTGAAATCTCAGCCCCGTGCCTGGTAGACAGGTGGCCTCAGGAGATGTTTGATGTGAGAGAATGAGAAACAGGGGTAGATGTGGGGGAATTTGGAGGCATGGATATTGGATTAAAATACAGAGCCGTGGGTGGGTGGGTGAGAAGACGGGTGGGAGGACTAGTCAGAAATGGCTGAGCAGAGCGTTGGGTCATAAATCGAAGTGGTTAGCTGATGGAAGACACACAGAGGGACAGATTAGTGAGTGGAGCTGTCAGGACCTCCTTATGAGGAAAGATGACCAGCAGACAATGGAAAAATGAGTGAGTGGACAAACATTATGTAGAACATTCTGAAACTGCCACCACCCAGTCATTTCTGACCTACAGAGCAATCCTTTTCATCTATCCAATCTTTTTTTTTTGCTTTCTTCTTCTTCTTCTTCTTTTTTTTTTTTTTTTGTGGTACTGGGGTTTGAACTCAGGGCCTACACCTTGAGCCACTCCACCAGCCCTTTTCTGTGAAGGGTGTTTTGAGATAGGGTCTCATGAATTACTTGTCTGGGCTGGCTTCGAACCACATCCTCCTGATCTCTGCCTCCTGAGTAGCTGGGATTACAGGTATGAGCCACCTGCACCCGGCATATCATCCAATCTTAATAGAGAGCAGCGAGGGGGAAGCATGTGTATGAAGAGATGAACAGTTGATGAAGGTACGCTGATCTAGGACGGTGGGTCACTAAGCAGGTGGGTGAATGGGATGCAGGATTTGCTCAGGAGAGAGGGGCAGGTGCTGATGGACAGACAGATGGAAAGGTGGATGGACGTAAGGATAGTTAGATGGTGGAGAGGTGGGTAGACAGGTGCATCATCCACAGATGCAGTGGGTGGGTGGAGGGTGAAAGGATGGATTAACGAAAGGTGGTTGAATGTCATGGCAGATGGGTGGATGGACTGGTGAGGAGAGGATTGGTGAGCGGGCAGACAGGTGGGTATATGGGTCTGTTGATGGATGCATAGGAAGTGAGATGGCTGGAGAACAAGGGGATGGATTGATGGGTGGGTGCACAAGGGATGGGTGGGTGGGTAGGTGGCTGGTTGGGTTGGGTAGGGATGAAGAGATGGAGGAGATCATAGAGGGGTGAGCAGAGAATCCAGGGGTGACTTTGTGGAGAAATGGGGCACCAGAGCTTCACCCACCATCCCTCCCCCATGCCCTCGTCCCCCCTCTCTGGGCCGGTGCAGTGGACTCACCTCTTTTTCAACAGGCCACTAAAATCCAGCTCGCCTGCATCCTCTGACTTCCCTTCGCCCCTGTGCCCATGAAAGGAGGTTTGAGCCCAATGGAGATTCATTCAAGGGTCCCCACTCCCTCCCTTTCAGAACCCTCCTTTCTACCACCTCTCTTAACCCTGGCAACACGATGCCCTTCCCCAGGGTCCAGGGTCACTTACGAGCGCTTGAAGCTTTCGAGGCTCTGTCCAGAGGCATCCTGACGGGGAGCTGGGGAAAAGGCCATGGGGGAAGGAAAGGTGAGTTGGAGGTGAGACCTAAGCTAAGACCCAGTTCTTTTTGTTGGTTGGTTGGTTGGTTTTTGTTTGAAGGAGGGGGGATTATTTGCTTGTTTTGTTTTGGAAGTGGTGGGGTTTGAACTCAGGGCCTTGTGCTTGCTAGGCAAGCTCTCTACCACTTGAGCCAAACCCTCAGTCTTTTTTATTATGTCCTTATTTTATTGATTTATTTATTTTTTGGTGGGATTAGGGTTTGAACTCAGGGCTTTGCACTTGCAAACATTGCTTGAGACACACCTCCAGTTCATTTTGCTCTGGTTATTTTGGAGATGGGGGTCTTGAAAACTATTTGCCCCTAATCCTCCCCATCTCAGCCTTTCAAATAGCAAGGATTATAGACGTGAGTCACCAGCACCTGGCTTACGCTCAGCCTTTTGCTTTAGTTTGTTTTTCAGACCGCTATCCTCCTGCCTCTGCTTCCTGAGTAGCTGAAATGATACACGTGTACCACCATGCTAGGCCCCAATCTTCTAATCTACTTTCTCAAACCTGGACCCTAACTTGCCTCCTGAGCCTTTGCAAGCGCACCCCAATATCCTGAACACTTTTACCCCCAAATCGATACCCCCTCCTGCTCTAGGCCTGTAGATGTCTCCCCAATTCTGAATATCCTGACCCTCAAGTCTCAAACTCCTCCTGTGCCTGCCTCACCCCCACACCTGTACACTTACCCTACACCTGGTTGGTGCAGCCACCCTGACCCTCAGGCCCAGAACCCTTCATCCCACCCCCCCCCGTCAGCGCACCCTCCACATCGATGCTGAAGCCACAGCTGTCACAGGCGTCCTTGGCTTTGACCTCCAGGCGGTAATCCCCACGGTCCCCCAGTACCACCTTTCCAATGTGCAGTTCCACGGTGTACACCTGGGGGCCAGGGCCAGGCGTGTGGGTGCCCATGACTTATCACAGCTATCCCCAAGCCCCAACCCACAGCAGGGGCCAATGAAGGCCTAGAATGGGGCCTCAGCAGCTCAGTCTCTTGTCTGAACAACCCCCTAATATGTTTCTGGGGCAGTACATGGCCAGGGTCAAGTGCACCACACCCGCCCCAAGCTATATCCTGAGGTTGCCAGCTCCATCTAGGGGACTCTGACCACAGTGTCCCTCAGGCTGCTGACCTTCTGAGAAGCACGGCCTGAACTGCCTCTTCTGGCCACTCGCCCCCTCCCTTCCTCTCCCACCAGACGTCCCCTGGTGCTCACATTGCTGGCAGAGTCGTGGGACTCCTTGAAGGAAAATCGTGCCCCGCTCTTGCTGCCCAGCTCCTGCCACTTGCCCTTGAACCACTTGATGGTCGGCTTGCCAGGGAGCTCCTTCCCATTCACCTTGGCCACAATCACAGTGTCCTTTCCTGGGTAGGGGCAAGGGAATAGCTTCTCAGGAATCCCAAGACTCTGCAGAGGGGGGCTGTGAGCTTGGGATCCCAGTGTCTCCTCGACTGGACCCAGGGGTCCAGGCCCAGCCCTCCTCCCTCAGACCCAGAGTCCAGGCCCAGCCCTCCTCCCTCAGACCCAGGGGTCCAGACCCAGGCCTCTTCCCTTAGACCCAAGGTTTAGACTCAGCTTTCCTCCCTCAGACCCATGGACCTAGGTCCAGTGTCCCCCCTCAGACCCAGGGGTCCAGCCTTCCTCCCTGGTCGCTCACCAGCTTCCACTGCTACAGAGTCCGGCTTTTTCAGGAAAATGCCGGTGGGCTCCTCAGCAGTGGGGGACTGGTCCTCAGGTGGGGGTGGGGCTTCTGCACAGGAGAAAGGATAGGATATCAGAGGTAGACTGGAGCAGCAGAGGGCCAGTCTGGGGAAGGGGCTTAGAGCCAGTCAGGGACCCTCTGCTCAGAATCACAAGGTCCTGGGAGGAGAGTGGCTGTTCATGACTGGGGAAAGACCACATATTGTCTAGGTGGCTGTGTGACCTTGACTAGGCTCCCTTAGCCCTTTGGGGCTCAGTTTCCCCATCTGTGGCCAGAAGGGTGGTGGACAGGATGGTCCTGAATGGACCATTGGGGAAGGAGAAGTTTAAAGATAGATGGGAAAATTTGGGGGGCAGAACTTGGTGGTGAAGGAGAAAGCTCATGGGAGCTTGAAGCCGTGTCTGCGTGCTAGGGAGCCAGGGAGGGTACATCTGCTCTGGCCCTGGGTCGGGACACCCAAAGGAGTGAGAGCAGGGTGAAAGCAGGGGTGAGCTCAGAGGGGAGCAGGAAGGAGACAGGATGCCAGCTCAGTCCCAGGGAGCGCTATCTCACCTTTGGGGGGTTCTGCAGGAACCTCTTTAGGGGGGCTTTGGCCTCATCTTTGCCTTTGGGGGCCTTTTTAGCTGCTGGGAGGTAAGAGATGTTCACAGTTGAGCACACACACTCGGCACTCTTCTCTCCCAGGACCCAGGGCTTCAGACCCTGGTCCTCCTCCCTCAGACCCAGGGTTTAGTCCCCAGTACTTCTCCCTCAGATCCAGGGGTCCAGACCCCCACTCTGGATGTAAATTTATCTCTCATCCTGACTCTGTGAGATCAAGTTTCTTCTACCCCAGTGGCCAAGTCCCAGGCACCCAGGCCACCAGGCCCTGACCTTTCAGGTTCTGGGGGTATAATTAGCTCTTCCCTTGGGCTGGAAACTGGACACTCATGCTGACCACAGCAGTCTCCCCTGTGCTACTGGCCCCTGGCCCATGGGGGCACATCCTCAGCAAAGCAGGTCCACACCCTACAGTCTGATTAGCCAGAGGATACTAGGGGACCACCCACCCCAGGAGGAGGGGACCCACTGTGACTTCATCCCCATATAAAGTAATGGTCCACTTCCATCAAAGAGGGGCCCCCCAAAACTCCACATGAACAAGGGATTGGGGGTGGGGGCTGGAGGCATAGCTCAGTGGCAGAGCACTTGCTTAGCAGGTGCCAGGCATCACCTGGTTTCACAAGAAAAAGCCTATACAGAGGAGACCCTGAAATTCCTACACAGGAGAGCCCCAATTCTCACAGAAAAGGGGTTCTCTTTGTTTGGACAATTCCTGTGTCTCCATGCAGACTGGAACCCCCACTCTCTATATACACAGACACTGCATATCCCACAGCAAAAGCCCCCAGTTTTCACTCAGTGAATTGGCCCAAACCCCTACCTAAAGGACATCCGCCCCCAAGTAGAGAGGATCCCATCCCATGTCAAGACTCTGGACCCGCAAGACGGCATCCCCATCAAGAAAAGGGGATGCCAATTTAAATCAGAGTATCCCCATTTCCACCAGCCATGGGTCCCTCAGTCTGCTGCCAAGAAAAGCGCCCCTCCCTACAGAGCAAAGGGAACACCCCACTTTGCAAAGGTAGGAGGTCCCCTCCACCTACCCAGGAATGAAAGCCCTCCACACGGAGAAAGGATCCCTCCTCGCCATGCAGGAAAGCATCCTATCTTACACAAATGTGGGGCCCCCATGCCACACTAAGGGAACCCCATCTTCACAGGGTTTCTCCCAATCCACAAAAAGAAGAGCCCTAAGTCCCCAACTCAGTAAAGAGGACCCCAGCTACTCTTAAGAAGTCACCTGATTTGGCCTCAGGCATGTCGGCGGACCTCCTCCCGCTGCTCCTCGGAGCGCAGCCTCAGGACCTAAGGGAGGACAGGTGGGTCTCCAGAGGGAGTCCTATAAGGAGTACGGAGACTCCCAGGAGGCTCCGGGAGGCATCGGAGGGCCGCCCCACATTCCACCCGCGTGCTCTAAGGGGCGAGAAATAACAGCTAGACACAGATGGTTGAATGCCAGGTCTTCAGAGAGAACAGGCTGGGGGGGGGGATCGGACACCTGAGTCTGAGGGGGGAGGAGGTGCGCAGGCGGGGACAGCAGGGCCTCTGGAAGAGCGGACGATGGGTTCATCAGAGTACTGAGTCTGGGGGCGCAGTTCCTTGGGTGCTGGAGAAAGGGGGAGGAGGAGGAGGGTCCAAACACCTGGGTCCTGGGAGGTGAGGCAGGTGGGTAAGGGCTGCGAGCCAGACTTTGGGCAAAGGGGGCGGGGACAGACAGGTCTCGAAAGCCATTCTTAGCATCTGCAAGTCAGGACTTTTCGGGAAACCAGAGCCCGGAGGGAGGGTCCGGTTTCCCAGCGTAGGCAGGACGGGGGCGGGGGGAAGGGGAGGGGGGAGAAGGCGGGGAGGAGATCGCTGTACCCCAGGGAGGGCACTGGGGCTCTGGGACTCCGAGGCCCGCCCCCTGGACATCGCAGACCCGAAAGCCTGAGGCCACGGCCACCTGGGACCCGGACTGGCCCCTGCCCCCTGGGACCTTGGCCAGCAGGTTGTCCGCGACTGTTCCCAGAGTGGGCGCGGCGGGCACCGGACGTGGGGAAGGGGGCCGTGTCCCCGGCGGGGACGGAGGGGAGGCTGGGAAGGCCCTGGAGGGCTGCCCGGACGTTGGCGTCCTTCCCAGAAAGGGGACCTGTGACTTTCCTAATGGGCGTGATGGCCCAGCGCGAGGCGGGGAGCCGGGAAGGAGGGGTAGGGCGTGGCTTTGGAGGGGCGTGGCTTAGGGAGACCAGGTGTGGTCTCCTGCCCCACCAGAAGGGCAAGGTGAAAGGGAGGGGTAGGGTGAAATTGAGGTTAACGCAGGGACGCCTGGGAAGTAACGCAGGGTGAGGGCCCCTGTGTGAGGGAAGATAGGTCCGTCCCCTTTTTCTTCCTGCGGGTCTCCCACCTCCCCCTTTTCCAAAACCCCCTAAGAGCCGGAAACTTCCCCGCCCCCGGGGAGAGTCAGGCCAATAAAATGGTACTCTTTTTTGTTACGTCATGAGTTACCAGGCAGACTACCACACCGTTCCACGTTAGCCAGAGAAAATTGGGCAGCGGTGGGTTCCAAGGGGGCCCTGCCATCTGGAGCCACGCGCCTCTCGCCGCCAGCCCGAGGGCTCAATCCAGAGGATGACAATGACCTAGAGTGAGGGCGATACAGTCCCAGATGGAAGGAAAAGTAAAGAAGTGGGGCGGGGGAGAGGCTGGCCCAAGCTGTAGAGCCCTATCTAGCAAGCTGGAGGTCCTGGGTTCAAACCCCAGAACCGTGGGTGAGGGGACGGAAAAATCGCTAAGTGGCTAGAAGCCAGAGAGACACAAAGATTAAAGGAAACCCCCGTGCCTGCATCTCTAGCCCCTTATTTCAGCATTCAAGACTCAGCCAGGCATGACTGTAATTGGCTCTTTGATACCTCTCACCTCCCCTGTCGCTGTTCCTATGGTCCCAGGATCAGCGGTCTCCCTGGAGGGGCAGGTTGCAATCAGTCTCTGATACAGGGTCCCAGGACATTCGTAGCCTTGATTTCTTGTTTTATTTTATTTTGTTCCATATTTAGAGCAATGATGATAGCTTTACAGAAAATATCTGTGTAGAAGAAGACCCTGGAGAGGACATTTTGCACTCCTCCCTCTTTTCCCCTTCTCTTGAGGGCAAGCCCCAGCCTAGGACCAGCCCCACGCGCACCTCTCGCCCCTCTGGGTCCTGATGCTCCTTCCTCCTCCCCCTGGCGACCCACGAGACTAGTTTTCAGATGTGTTCCAGGCTCAACCGAGCTGTAAGGGCTTTTTGATGTCCACCTCCTCTTCTCCCCCTTTCTCAAGAGTTCCAACTGAGGCCTGGATCACCTAACCCATCCAGGCTTAAAGCCTTGGACCTCTGACTCCTGGGGTCCCACGGAGAGCTCCCATAGTTCATGCCAGCTTCAGCTCCAGCTGGATTTACACGGATTGATACACGAGTGCTTGGGACCAAACAGGCAGTGAAGAAAAGGCACTGGGGTGAGACACCAGGCATGGCAGGGACAGGGACAGACTGGAGAACAAATTCCCCATTACAATGGGAGGTGGAGACACTGTCCTGCTTCAGGCTCTCCACACCCTAAAGTTGGCCCACTGTCACAGGGTCAACCAAAGTTTCAGGGGGAGTCAGAAATCTGGATTATGTAAAATTTCCTTAGTTTGAAAGGTCGGCTGTTAATTCAGATTTTCCACCTCAGTGTATTAAAACACCAAGAGGGACCAACTGTGCCCGGCAGGGGGTGGGGATGGACAGCTTTAGACCTTTGATCATAAATGACATGGTGTGTGGGGGGGGAGAATTTGCTATGGTTACCTAGAAATCAGTGCAGTGGCAGTCCTCAGTGAATGACCCCCAAAATGGGGGGCCTCAAAATGGCTGGGTCCCCCTGAGAACTTGGAGCTGCTGGTGAGCCCTGAAGGGACCCGGGGGCCTCAGATGTGACGGAGACATTCCAGATTGGACAAAGATACCCAAAAGGGACCCAAACTAAGATTCACTGAAACTTCACCCCACCTCAGACTTGACGAGTCATTTCAGATATGACAAAAGGATCCCAAAGGAGCCCTAGTTGTGACTGGAGAATTTCAGTCATAGAAAAGAGTAAAGGCAAGAGTGGTTCCAGAAAATAAGGGGACTCAAAGATGACAGAGATCTGGGGGGGAGGGGAACAGATGTGACAAGAGTCATGAGTGGACACAGAGAACTGAGACAAAGGGTTCCCAGAAGGCCCCAGACGTAGGAGATCTCAGATCTGCCAAGAATTCACATGAAGAGAATCCCAGAGAGTCGCGCCTACTCCCCCTCCCCCAGGTTAGGGTTGCAGCAGCGTCCCCTCCTGGTGGGGTGATCTGTGGGTTCCTCCCACCCCAGGCAGATGAGATGGAGAATTCGCAGACACACAAGTGATCGGACAGGTGCCTGGCCTGGATGGGGAGGGGGAAGGGAACCTCAGATACCACAAGAGCAAAGTTTGGGATTCTAGAAAGACTGCCATGTCCCCAACACACAGGAGAGTAGTCTGCGGGTCCTGTGACCCAAAGCATGAGGATCCTGGGGACCCTGCACATAACAAAGGATCCCAGAGACACAACTGGGGGAATCCTAGAGTGGCAGGGTTTAGGGATTGTGACAGCCCCCACCCCCAAATACAAGGATCCATGGGTCCTATGACCTAAGACGCAGGGACGCCCAGCTGGGCTCCCGGGGAGGGATGCAGAGCCCCTGAGAGCCCCCTGCCCTCCCCCCACGAGGGCTCAGGTGGGCTCAGGTGGGCTCAGGCGCGGCGGGCGGCCGGCAGCAGCGCGCTGTCGAACTGATAGGTGAGCTTGCGCTTGACCTTGCGGATCTCGCCGGTCTTGGCGTAGTTGCGCAGCGCCCGCGCCAGCTTCTGGTAGGTCATGCGCTTGCGGTTGCCCTTCTGCTGCCCCCAGCGGCGCGCCAGGAGCTCCTTGTGCTTCGAGGAGAACTGGAAGACGCCGGCGCCGGGCTCCACCCACCACACGCACTCGCGCATGTCCCGCGCGTCAGGAGCCCCAACAGGAACTGGTACAACCGCAGCTTCTTGCGCGCCCCTGCAGCGGCGTGGGAAGCCCAGTTAGAAAGGGGCGCGGCTCCGTCGAGGGGGCGTGGCTCCGCCCAGGCCCCCGCCTCCGCCACGCCTCCCCTGCTCTAATTGTCAAGATGGGCGGGGGTGCAGCTCTGCTGGTCCCCACGTGGTCCTGCAATTTGCTTATCTGTGTGTTTCTGTTATAAGCTTCTGGGGTTTAGGGAGGGATGATGACCCATTTCGCAGATTCGAAAACGAGGCCCAACAGCAAAAATAACCCTTGATCCCAACTGGGTATAAGAGATGTCAAGCAAATGGGCAAGGTTTGCGGTACTGAGATGGAAGCCAGGCAAGCATTCTACCACTGGAGCCACGCCCCCTGCCTCCCCCACCAACGTTTCCTTTTTTTTTTTTTTTTTGGTGGCACTGGGTTTTGAACTCAGTGCCAGCTTCGCACTGGTAAAGCAGGTGCTCTATCGTTTTGCTCCGGTTATTTTGGAGATGGTCTCAGGAACTATTTTCCCAGGCTGGCCTGGAGCCAAGATCCTTCTGATCTCAGCCTTCCAAGTAGGGGGATTACAGGCGTGAGCCACGGGTGCCCAGATCCTTTTGGTTTTTATATTTTGGAGTTTTTTTGAGATAGGGTCTCAGTAACTTTGCCCCAGTTTGGTCTGGAACTGGAGATCCTCCTGTGTCTGCCTCCAGAGTGACTGGCACTACAGGAGTACACTACCAAGCTTGACTAGTTAAGGGTGGGTATTGTGATTCCTTTTGCTGCTATCATGTCAGTAATGATGGTGAAAATGTCCACTTCCTGAGTGCTCACTCTGTGCCAAGCACCAATTATCCCATTTAACCATTCACTACCCGCTCCCATCCCCATTGTGCAGACTGGAAACCAAGGCACAGAGAGGATGAGGCATTTGCCCAAGGTCACACAGCCAGCAGGTGACATGGATCTGGAAACTTCCCTCAGAGCTGGAGGATACAGTAGGTACTTGGGAAGCCATGGCTCCTTCAGCCTGCTCCTCCCCTACATACCTCGGGTTGGTGATCCCATCACCTCCTCACGCCCACCTACCTGCCTCGGATCCCCTCTCCTCTGAGCCAGCCATGAGGGCCTCATCTGACTCGCTGTCTGAGACCTCCAGAGCAGGACTGTCCAGCAACAAATCTTCCTCCTCCGACAGCACAGGGCTGGGGTACGGAGCATATGCCAGGGGGCCTGGAGTCTGCAGAAGGCCAGGGTCACCTGTACATGTGTGGACCCCTTCTTTCCCTCCATCTCATCTTCCTCTACTTTCTCTTCTTCTGTACTCTCCCCACTCTGGTCTCTATCTTTTTGTTTGTTTGTTTGAGACAGGGTCTTGCTATATAACCCAGGCTGGCCTCAAACTTGTGATCCTCCTGCTTCTGCCTCTCAAGTGCTGGGATTATACACATGCACTAACATGCTCAGCTCTGGTCTCCATCATTGTTCACAGCATGGACACTGGCCTTGGTCCATATCTCCATGATGTGGCCAAGGGACACCTCAGCCCCCCTACTAAAGTTCATCCAGCACACAGAAAGGCCAGCGTGTGGCTCCATAGGAACGTGGATACGATGACTTTGTCACTCAACCCTGCATGGCCCTGAAAGGACGTGTGCGATTGCAGTGGGCACCAGTTTGCTGAACTTGGAGCCAGGCCCCCTAGGAAATCCCCTTGAAATGGTTGGCTTTGATTTTAGCTTTTCCCTGCTCCTCACCTGGCTGGTGAAGTCCTCTGTGGGATATGCAGGGAGGCCAGGCCCTGGGGCCTCCAGGCTGGGGTCAAGGGTCCCCACTGGGCTGTAGGTGGCAGGTCCATAGCAGAGCTGAACAGCCTGGGGGTGGCCAAAAGCAGCTGAGGCTGGATCAAAGGCTTCATATGGGGTGGTGGGGACAGGTGGAGCCTCTGTCCAGCCCCACACAGAGTCTGGAGAAGAGGACAGGGTCAGAAGCCAGGAGATCCAACCAAGGCCCCCTCCCACTCAAAGTCCCCGTCACAGAGGGGCCATTGTGGGCTGTGCAAATTTCTGACCCCAAGATTTGCATGGGGAGCAGATGGGTGGGAGAGGGAAGGGAAGGAAGTTTGGAGGCTTGAGCCACCCTTCTCTGCTGTGCTGGGTGAGGCCTCCCTTGGGCCTCAGCAAACCATCAGTGAAATGGGCCCAAGGCCAGGTGGGGGCCAAGCTGAGGTCACTCACCTGGAGTCCCCTGTGAGTCAGGATAGCCGGAGTGCTTGCAGCTGTCCAGGTCATAGAAGACGCCATCTGGGTACTGCTGGGGTGAGAAGAGGGTCATCCCAAGCTTTGGGCAGTTCCCACTCCCACCCTGGACCCTCAGGGAGACCCTAACATAGCCAGGGGACAGAGGAGAGAGGCTAGTGAGAACACAGAGATAGAAACAGACAGGAGCCAGGCATAGCAGTGTACACCTGTCATCCCAGCACTCGGGAGACTGAGGCAGAAGGATTGCAAGTTTGAGGACAGCCTGGGCTATATATGGAGACCCTGTCAAAGAGAGAGAGAGAGAGAGAGAGAGAGAGAGAGAGAGAGAGAGAGACGGAGAGAGAGGGAGGGAGGGAAGGAAAGAGACTAGGCACCAGAGACAGACACAGCACCAGAGGGACATACAACAGCCAGTTCCTGCCATGCTGGGGCTCCTGAGGACCCTCACGAGTGTATGTACACAGCTGGTACATCACAGAGCCCAGGGGGAGGTACAGCAGAAGTCCCCAGCATCACCTGCCTGGAAGAGGCTGGGACTGGGGGGTGAAAGGTGAGGAGGTGGCAGTGTTCAGCAGAGGTGGAGTCTCAGTATTTCTCTAATCCACCCCCATGTTCATCCCAGGAATCGTGTATTGCTTTAGCCCCTGAAGGCTGGTAGAGACAAAAGATGATGTCCCCATGCAACATGCCGCTAAAAGCTGAAAACCTGTGTCCTCAGAGTAGCTAGGACGAAGAATAATTGGGACAGCTTTCTTTGTAGACCCAGACTGAAAGCAGCCTAGGTGTCCATCAACAAGAAGACAGATAAACAAGCTAAGAGATAGCCAGCAAGTGGAGTACTATGCAGCAAAGACAAGGCCAGGCACCTAACATACACTGTTGAGGGAAAGCCTCAAAATGGACCCACCGTGTGATTTTTTCTTTATATAAAGCTCAGTAAAAAGTAAAACAAATCGATGGTGTGAAGTATTGAGGGTGGGGTGGGTTTGCTTGGGAAGGGACAGGAGGGAATTCTGGATTGTTGATGTGTGAGTTAATCTCAATTTGTAAAACCAAGGTCGTGCATGGTGGTGCACACTTGTAATCCCAGCACTCTGGAGGCAGAAGCAGGAGGATCACAAGTTCAAGGCCAACCTGGGCTACATAGACACTGTCTCAAAAAGCAAACAGACAGACAAAAAAACCACCAACAAAAAAAACTAACACAATTTAAAAGTGACTTTCTTTCAACCACAAGGGAGAGATCTTATCTCACAGCCTGTGTTGTGGGTTCGGGGGTGTTGGTCTGCAATATTACAAAATAAAAAAATAAACAGAACACAAAAAGAAGGAAAGGAAAGGAGAAAAATCCCAAATGTGAGATAGCGAAACACTCAAAGTCAGTCATGACAAATGGTCTCAGAACTTGAGAGAGGGAGAGGGGGAAGGAGGGAGAGGGAGAAAGAGCAAGAGAGAGAGAGAGAGAGAGAAAGAGAGAAACACAGACATCAGAAATAGGTCTGTGGTAGGGATGGGGTCAGGGAGATACCAAAAAGTAGAAGAGGAAGAGGAAAATGAGGCAGGAAGCAAGTGACCTCTCCAGAGGTGGTCACAGTGGGCCCTGTGGGTCCCTGTCCCACACTGGCCTCCAGGGGCCCCAGACTCACCAGACAGCTGAAGTGTGGTCCCTCGAGCCTGGCGGGGGAGAGACACAGGGACATAGTCAGGGCCGCCCTCAGCCACCTGAGTCTCAAAGTGGTTGGGGGCTGATGGGGGAGGCGGTGGCAGCTGTGACCACCGCAGCTCTGCCGTCTGCTGGGTGTCCCGGTGTGAGACCAGCCCTACCACATTCACCCCCACTCCCCCACCAGGACAGGAAGTGGGGGGTGGGGCCAGGCAAATGTCCCCTCTCCCAGGGATTTGCATAGACAGACACTGGGGGGGGGCAGGGAAAGTGAGGGGGAGAAAGTCCCCCGAGGGAGGTGTGGGCACTAGCGGGTGGGGGTGGGGTATGGAGGGGCCTTGGTAGGCGAGTCTGCTAAATGGACCCACCCTGGACCAGAGGAACAATAAGTCTGGGTAGGGATGGAAAACAGGGTGGGGGGACCCAGTGAGGGGACAGTGAGGAGAGGTGGGAGGAGGAAGAAGGTGTGGGAAGGAGGCAGAAGCATTTTGTGAACCCCGGGGATGGAGTGATAGGGTGACACAGTGAACAGCAGGGAGATGGGAGGAGACAGAAGCAGCTGGACTGAGAACTGTAAAGACACAAAGCCAGAGAGCAAGGGGCAGAGCAGATACCCAGAAAGACACACTGTGAGGCAGTGACAACTGGAAGGGACACTTGGGAGGGGACATTGACCCATGTCCCCAGGAAATGGAGAGACAAGGGCAAGAGACAGAGCAGACCCCTCTCATCCCACCCACCTGCAAAGCCAGTGGAGGGTGAGGCTGGGCAGAGAGGTCCGAGGGGTGGTGCAGGGTGGGGGTCCTGAGGGCAGGCTTAGGGGGTCCAACTTACTGTGTGGCCTCCAGGGCGAGCATGGTGGTGCTGGCTGGACTAGCCACCGGCTGTAGCCGCCACCCCAATATATACTTTGGCCCAGCCCCCACGGGGAGGGGCGAGGGTGCAGGGCCTTGGCCCTCCTCAAAAATCCCCTCGGGGAGGGGTCAGGGGAGGGGGCTGGATTGCACAACCCTTCATCCAGTGGCAGGGAGGGCGGGCCTAGGGGCCATCAGGATTTGGGGATCCCCACGTTTGGGGGTGGGGATGGGCTGACTGAGGGGTGATGGGAGAGCTGAATTGAGGGGAGGGGAACCTGGAGAAGGCAGGGCCAGCTGTGGCTGTGGTCAGTTAAGATTAGAAAAAGGGGGCCAAAGACCCCAGAGCCAGGTCATAGGGAAAGCCCCAGGCCTGGGCTGCAATAGGACACGAGATAAGGATGGACAGAGGGTCTTGGCTGTGGACCTGGGCTGGGGCAAAGGATGAGCTGAAGCCATTAGGCCCAGAGGTGGAAACACCCGTGGGTGGGACATGGCAGGGAGGTCCCCTTGGTGGCATGGGGGAGTGGAGGCCTCAGTGCCAGGGGCTGCCCCAGGGGCTGGAGGAAGGTCAGCACCTGGCAGGAACGGTCACCAGTCCCCAGGGGAGGGGTAGAAGGGGATCAGACATCTGGGCGCCCCTGCAGAGGGGAGGTGGCCTAGAGGGGAAACTAAGACACAAGGAAGGGGAGTGGAGTGGTCTCAGGGCCCTGGGCTATGAAACAGGACAGTGCACTTCCTTCCCCCAGAGAACACAACACACCACGTAGCAAAAGGTCTGAGTTTTATTCCCCGCCAGGCCCCCGGGATGCTTGCAGGGATGCTTGCAGGTCGGTCACCAGGCCTCGGGGCCTGGGGGCCCGAAGCGACGCAGCAGCTGCTCCTGGTCCTCCAGGTCCTTGCGCACCTTCTTGCGCATGTAGAAGATGGGGCAGTCCCGGCTGCGGGGGTGGCGTGGTCAGCCCGGGGACCAGAGCCCAGTGCCCAGCAGGATGGGGGGCCCGTGCACCCGCCCCCGGGGCGGGCTATTCCCAGGACTTTGCTCCCCCCCCCGCGGCCCCCCCCCAGGGAGGGGCTGTTTGCACAGCGGGCATGGAGGGGTGAGCCGATAACAGCGGGTGCCCGGAGAACCATGGGTGGCCGTATATCACCTGTCACCTGGCGTGGGAACCCGCCCCGCCCACCTGTTCCCTGGGGAAAGCCCGGCCCCACCCTCGGGGGGGGGGGAGCGGGGGTTGGGAGGGTGACCATTTCCCCAGAAGACCAGGGTAGTCGCTCCTGCCCTACTTTGCAGGCAAGGCCACTGAGACCCTGGAGTTTGGTCCCCAACCAACCCACAGACCCCTGGAGTGGCGAATGGGGGGAGGTAGGGAGGGACAGACACACACCTGGTACAGATGACATCCTCGTGCAGACTGCCCTGACAGCGCTGGCACTGGGTCCAGAGGCGCGAGAAGCGCTCCTCCAGGGCATTCAGGTGGGACACCTGGGGACAGGGGTCTGAGCAAGGCTGGGCAGGACAGCCGCCCCACCCCACTCCCTGACCTTGCGTCTATTCACCTCTTTCTGATACAGCTCTGACTCTCGGGGCTGGCAGAACTCACACACGGCTCCTGGGAGAAGTGCGGGTCACCAGGGGCACGGAGCTGGTGGGGCTCAGCCAGGCCCAGGCCACCCCATCCCTGACTGTCTCCGCCCGCCGCCCATCCCGGCTTCTGAAAGTCCCCAGAGGTTGGAGAACAAGGGCACGAGTGTGTGTGTGGAAAACTCCCCCGGGGAACCCCAGGGCTGGCGAGGACCCTCAGGTAGGGTGCAAGCAGAGGGGGGGCCCCGGCGGCAGGACGGGCCGGGGTCTCACCCTGGTGGCTGAGCACGGTTCGGCAGCCAATGCAGCAGCTGCGGCGTTTGGCAAAGGCCAGGAGGCCGCCCACCTTGCCGGTGAGCACCGTCTTGCAGCGCGTGTGGTCGCCCCCTGCAGGAGGGGCGAGCATGAACGGTCCACCCTCTGGGTGCTCCCCCAGGGCCCCGTGGTCGGCCCCGCGCCCGCACCCCCGCCCCGCGTGGCGTGCATACGCAGCAGCACGGCCTCAGCGCGGCCCTCGCCCAGGATGGGCTCGAAGATGCGCAGGAGCGGCTTGGCCAGCTGCTGCTCCAGGTAGTACTGCGTGTCGATGGGCAGGCTGTGCTCCAGCACGAACAGGGGGTCCTGCGGGGGGCCGGGGTCACCAGGAGCAGTCACCGGGCATGGGCACAGCCCTCAGACTGTGATGGGGGTTGTGGGGGGGGGAGTGAGAGGTCACAGGGAATGGCAGTGACATGCTGGGGGCCCTCAGGACACCAAGTGAGAGTTCACATGCGGGAGGAGGCAAGGCTGGGAAGTGGGTCACCGCCATCCGGGGTGGCGTGCAGAATGCTGAGTACAGGAGTGGGAACCAGGTAGGGACAGAAGAGACAAGGGTAGCAATGGAGTCAGACCTAGGGGCCCTGAGTGGGTCTGAGGGGTCACCCTGCTACAGAAGGGCAGGAGATGTGGGAACAGAGGCCCCACAGAGGGTGCTGGGAGGCCGGTGTGTCCTCCTTGAGCCCAGTCTCAGGGGTGTGCACGGGGCGTTCTCGGGGACCCAGGGCCCGCCCATCTCGGAAAGCAGAAGTGAGAGCCGCAGGGCTGGGAGGCCGCGGGCAGCCCAGGTGGGCCTGACCTCGGACTTCATGTAGGCGGCCACGCCCTTGGCAGCACCGATGATCACGTAAGGGACGCGGTCGCCCAGGCTGGGCGCACTCCCAGGGTCCCGCTTCCTCATCCTGTGGGGAGACCAGGCGGCCGGTGGGTGCGGGGGCAGGCAGCAGCAGACCCAGCTGGCAGGAGGGGCTATTTTGGGACGCCCCGCCCCCGCTGCCCGCACACCTCTCAGCCAGCTCCACGTGGGCCTGTTTGCCCGCATAGTCGGCTGTGGCGCGGGTCAGCTCCTTGGTGATGACCAGCTGCGAGATGTCAATGCGGTTACACAGCAGGTCCGAGATGACATCCTTTGCGTGGGCCACGGCACCCTCAGGGTCTCTGGGGTCGGGGGGACAAGCAGGAGAATGTCACCAGGGACTACTGAGGGTGGTCTGGCCTGACCTCTCACCAGTCCTGGAGCTGGGAACCAAGACAGGCTCTGTGAACTGTGAGAAACCCAGACACAGGCTGCAAAGTGACAAAGAGTGCAAAGAGGCAGTCAGCTCACAGCTGCCCAACCAATTCACCACTGTTCTACCACCAAGGAGGAGTGGGTTCTGGCACCTGCATCCCCAGGGGCTGGGCTGGGAGCCAGGACTCCTGGGCCTTAGGGAGGAGGACTGGGGTCTAGACCCCTGGGTCTGAGGGAGGAGGGCTGGGACCTGGACCCCTGGGTCTGAGGGAGGAGGGCTGGGACCTGGACCCTTGGGACTGAGGGGAAGACATGCTAGATGAGTGGTCTGGAGGAGGGTCCCCATACCGGTCCACAAGCAGGCGCCGCAGCGAAGCGGTTACCAGGTTGGCCACGAGGGGGCAGTTGTCCCTGCGCACAGCCTCCAGGCCCTTGCAATCCATGCGGTCGTGGGCATCGGGCCGGGAGGAAAAGAGCAGGCCGGCATAGCGCTTCTTGCTGATGAGCAGGTAGGGGAAGTAGACCTGCGAGGGCCCCATGGTGGAGACCCCTGAGACTACAGGGTCAGTCCCCAATCCTAAGATGCTCTCAGAAACAGGGCAGGCCTGGACAGCCCCCCAGACAGAGTTCAGACACTAAAAGGGACCCTAAACCAAGCAAAATGGGCTCCAAGACACCTCTGAGCACCCTAAGTCCCCAGGAACCCCCAATATGAAACAGTGCCATAAACCAAGCGTTGTCCCCTAAAACATGGCATCCAGACAGGGGACCACAGTGAGGTGGTCCCTCAAGAGAAGAAGCCAAAGCCATAGTGAGCCATAGGGCAGACACAAACTCCCCCAAACTGAGAGGCTCCACATTTACAGGCTGGGGCTGGTGGAGCGGCTCAAGGCTAGAGCATCTGCCTAGCAAGTGTGAGACCCTAAGTTCAAGCTAAAAAAAAAAAACAAAAACTAGAGTCAGTGCACCTGCGGGCGCCCATTTAAGCAGACTACTTAAGAGAATACTGTGTTGAGGATCCCAGAGCCAAGTCTGATGCACCCTGGGCAATAGTTGTGGCTTCAAGATGCAACCCCACCTGGTCCCCACTGCAAGGGTGGCCCCCAAACCAGAGACTGTGACAGGCTTTTCAAAACAGCAACAATGTCCTGTGCATCACACATCCAGCATGAGAAGCTGACAAAACCGAGGTCCCAATCAAGAGAGCACAGGCAGCAGAACACCAGCACTAGGCTGACAAACTGAACAGGATCCCCAGAATACTCTGGTTCAGGTACCCCAAAACAGAGAGACCTTGAGCATCAGGGTGTCCCAGAGCCTTCCAGACCAGGGGACTCCCCTCTCTAGGCTATTCTTAAAGTTCACAGGTAATCAGTGAACCAGACCCACAAACTGTCAAGACCCACACTTATCTCCAGCCTGAGCCCTGAGTACAGGGGACCCCATATACCTTCTCAAACTCCAGCCGGATGGGTGCTGGGAAGTGACCTGATACCCAGTCCGCGGCCTCCCGCCCCAGGGCCATTGCCTCAGCCACAGAGGAGACTCCGAACCGGCACATGACAGAGTCAGTGTCACCATATACCACCTGGTGGGGGGGGAAGCATGGGAGGGAGCTTGACACTGAAGGAAGCTCAAGGATATCACAGCAGAGCAAGCAGGGTATGACAGGAAAATGGGGACACACAGGCCTGGGCAGGTGGCCCTGACCTTGGCATTGGTGCTGTAGCCATTTTCCACTGTGTACTTAGACTCCACCAGTTGCTTGGTTTTCTCAATCATCTGACGCCCGAACCCAGTGACACTCTGTGGGGGACAGAACCAGGCAGTGAAGGCCCAGGAGCTGTGTACAGTGGACAGGACTGGGGCTCCTGCTTTAGCCACATGGCCCGAAGTTTAGGAGTCTGCAGAAAAGGGCTACTAGGCTGCTGCTCAACAGTCCTCTGAAACCACATGGGCTGGGGGTAGTGCCAGAAAACCATTCCTTCCCACCTATTTTGGTACTGAGGTTTGAACTCAGGGCTCATGCCTTGAGCCACTCCAACAGCCCTTTGTAGTGTTGGGATTTTTTGAGATAGGGTCTCTGAAAGTATTTGCCTGGGCTGGCTTTGAACTGTGATCCTCCTAATCTCTGCCTCCTGAGTAGCTAGGATTACAGGTGTGAGCCACTGGTGCCCAGCTCCACCTGACTTTATAAATAAGGAAGCTGAGGATGGAGAAGAGTGTAATTTTTTTCTCCTTCTATGTGGATTCATTCAGATAGTGTTTATCTTTTAACTAGCATACTTAGTCTATTTACATTTAATGTAATTACTGCCACAAGTGGATGTGGCACCCCATGGCCTGACCTCTGCTTTGGGACTGGAGCCACCATTTCCCCTGGGGATACTGGGAGGCAGCTGGGGATGACAGGCCAAACAGGGCGTAGGAGTGGCATGTAGCGAAGGGATCTCTTTACTAAAGGAGGGCCTGGCTCTGGCCTGGCTCCTGGGAGGGGACACCTAAGGGCTTGCAACACCCTTCTTCATAAGAATGTCTGTTTACCTGAGACCTCAAGCTCTAATGCTGGTGGCCTGGGGGCCCTGGGCCTTGCATTCTCAGTCTGAACTTTGGAGGTGGAAGAGCTGGAGACCCAGTAGCCAGTAACTAAGGTCAGTCCCATGGTGCTCCATGCCATGACTGACCACAAAACTTGGGCACCTAGGATCAGGAAATCCCTGACTGATGTTTGTGTGCTGTCACACTTTGCTGCTGGGAGAATTGTCTGCTGTCCTGAGATTCAACTGGGAGAGGACAGTGGAGTGCTCCAAGCGCAACCTTTGCCAGGCTCATCTTGTGCCCAGCTGTCCTCACTGATTTTAACCTGTAGCCTATTATGGTATTAAATACACACCTCTTCTGAGAGACATTCTAGCCAATCAGTGAATCTGAGTGGTCCTGGGCTATGCAGTGTGCAGGCCTCTCCCACTGGAAGCCCTGCCCACTGCCAGTTCCTCCCTACCCTCCCCAGGCACCATGGAGCAGGGAGGCAGGGAGTGTTGTGTGTGGTCCTTTCCCCCAGCCTCCTCCATGGTAACCAAGTGGAGGTGCCCAGAACTAGTCTAGACCATGCTGCGGCCCAAAGCCCAGGGGAGGAGGCTGGGCAAGATGCCCTTTGCAAAGCCCAAAGCCCTCTTAGGCCAGGAACAGGGGCACAGGCCCAGCCTGGCAGAACCTCGGGCCCTCTGTGGTCTCACTGCAAATCCTTTTTCTGTCCAAGCTGCTGGGCTGCTGTAGTAAGTAATGGAGATGGGGGTGGGAGGAGTGAGTAGGGAGAGCAGGAGTTGGGGCAGTTGTTCTGCTCAGAGTTTGAGTTGGTCAAGCACTGCTGAGCATCCTCACCAGGTCCTCGCACCCAGGGCTCCTGGTTGACAGCGAACAAGGTCAAATGGCCTCCCAAGGACTCAGCAAATCCAGCTGTGCTATGCTGTGGGTAATCCCTAGCCCTGAAAGCCAAACCCTGTCCCCACTCCTCTTTCTTCCTTTGAAGGAATGAAGAGACCCCTTCACTGGGGCTGGGGGTCTGTTGGGTGACTCTGTGACAGGTGGAGTGAATAAGCAAAGCTGACAGGCTCCACCAAGTTACCCAGCCCCGCCCCCCGCCCCTGAGCCTGGAGTGGCTACGTCTCACTTGATCACCTGCACCCTAAACATTTCCTGTCACGTTCTGTGTCACCACTACATCACGGGTGAGCTACAAAAGGAAGGTCAGGCACTCAAATCTGTTTTGTCACCCTCTGTACCCTCGGCAATGCTCATTGTTTCTGAAGGAACCAATTGGTCACTCAAGCCACACTGGTGTCCAAAAGGCCAGGACACCACCTCCCAACACAGCTTTGCCTGAGTCCTGGTCCCCCCCCAAAGAGGCCCCATCCACTCCCTGCTCCACCTGTCAGGGACCTGAGGGCTCACCTGTGAGATCTCCAAGCATGGCAGCTTGCCCACTTGGGCCCCAGTGAAGCCATATACGGAGTTGGCACTTATTTTCAGCGCCAGCTGCCGCCCATCCAGGACCTGCCGCCGAAGAGGGTCTGTCTCCTGGGCCAGCTCAGCCTTGGCCCTGGGATGGGGGTGGGAGGGGTTGAAGGGTACTCAGGCAGTACCCCAGGCCTCAGGGGGGTCAGGGTGCCTGTCTGGAGAGGTATGCCATGTACAGCTGGGTGTGTTGTGCACTGCATAGGTGCCTGACCCAGAGGATGAAGGTGCTGCCTAGAGGGACACCTTATTGTCATGCACACACAGCTGCAGTGAACGCAGTAGGGCAGCCCCGGGGGACCCAGTGAGAAACAGGTGTGAGCACTGAGCCAGGGTGAAGGGCTGCAGAGCCCACCTCTTCCGGGCACTGAGCAGGTTCTCCAGGATCTGGGGCAGTAGCCCCTTCCGCACTGACGCCTTCACAAACTCGTCTCCGGTGGGCGTCTTGATGAACTGATCTGCGGTCAGGCTAGGAGGGAAGGTGGTGGAGGTGCTGCTGGGCCTCCATCCTGGCCTTGGCACAGCAGGAAACCCCCACACACCTCGTGCCTCCCTTTTCCTGCCCACTAATTTTTGGGCCTGGTCTGTCTCCCTGCCAGACTACAAGCGCTGAAGGTAGGGCACAGGTCAGCCTCGGGGACATGTGTGGAGTGAGGGCGCCATACCCCAGTTTCTGGGCAGCCCCAGGCCGCAGGAGCGTGGTATAGCACAGGTTGTGGGCCATCATGATGGACGGGTACAGCGAGGAGAAGTCCAGGGTGGCAATGGGGACATCATAGTACCTGAAGGGGGGGACGGGACGGGACAGGACATGAGGTTAGAGTCAGGGCTGGAACCAATCCCCCACCCAGTGTGGTCCCCCTCCAGCCTCAGAGCCTCACCCTTTCAGGGGCTCAATGACAGTGGCTCCTGTGTAGTCCTCGCCACCCTCTGTCTTCACCACGGGCATCAGTAGCCCCTCTCGCATCGCCTGGGGAAAGGCTGGGTGAGTGACCAAAGTGGGGCCTTGTTGGTGGTGAGCGGTATGCACCAGCCACCCGGCTTGGCCGCTGACCTGTCGCAGCAGCTGGGACACGACCTTGACTTGCTGGCCACGGCTGAGCAGGTAACTGAGGGGCACTCCAGTGACCCGAGCCATCTCCACAGCATTCACCAGCACCATGAGCCGCTCGAGCAGCCGGAGCGGCAGGAAGGCATCCTTGAGGCAGTACACAGCCAGACGGCGGCGGGTCTGGTCGTTCCCATTCTGGGGACAGGCACCGGTGGGTGGGATCAGGTTCGGGGCCAGAAGCAGGAGGGGGAGCCATGGGAGGACATGGGACTGGGTGAGGGAGGTTGGAGCGATGGGGCACGGACAGGGCAGATCAAGGGGCTGGTGTACAGGAGGGGCCAGGGCAGGACAGCAGAGCACAGGTCCTAGTGACAGAAGTCATGGTAGAGGAAGACATCAGTAAGAGGTGGGTGACACTGAGGTCACAGATGTGAACAGAAGAGTGAGATGAGGTTGGGACAGAAGGTCAAGATAAGAGACCAGAGGTCAGGAGGGTGGGTGAGAGGTCAAGGTCAGGGTTCAAGACCTGAAAAAGAATGGAGATGAGAGGCTGGGGAGGCAGGGGCGAAGGTCAGAGTTCAGGAGGGTAAAGTCAAAGCCAACGGATAAGCTGTGAGACTGAGACTGAGCTCAAGGTAAGAGACCAGAGGTGGGTGGGGGAGGTGAGAGGTCAAGGCAGGCTGAGGGTGCGAGGACAGGGAGGTGGGGTGGGCTGGGCACCTGCAGGTCGGTTATGATACTGTGCTGCACGTCCTCCTTCTGCTCACCCAGGAAGTGGAAGCTCACGGCGTTGAGTGTGTAGGAGCGGAGCTTGTACTCCCGAAGCAGCACCTGTGGAAGGCAGGCAGGCAGGGCTGGGTGACGGTCCAGCAGAAGCATCCAGAGGCGCAGGCACCCCCAGCCCAGCTGTACCTGCACCATGTCCATCTGCATGTGGCCCATCATGTGGGCCGTGGCCCCCCTCCACACGGCCGTACCTGCAGCATGTCCATCTGCACGCGGCCCACCATGCTGACCACTTGCTGTCACGTCGGCCCATCTGCCTCGACTGGAATGAGGAGTCCCTGATGTTTGAGCGGAGGCCGGCCACTCGGCCCAGCAAAGGAAAGGTTTGCACCTGGGGTGGGAGGGGAAGGGACAGTTCAGGCAAGGCTGTGGTGGCTGACAGGCTTGCCCCATCCTAGGCTCCAGGCCACGTTGGAATAGGACAGGGACAGGGACCAACCACAGCATCCTTGTAAGCAAGCCAGGGGTGGAGAGCAGAGGCAGGTCTGGGTGCAGAGACCTTCTGGGGCCAAGGGAGGTTAAAGACCAGGGAGGGAGTCCAAGGGGAGGACAAGGCTACAGCTGGGAGGGCCTGGTGAGCTACGGGCAGAAAGGGACAAGGACAGCACCCAAAGGCTCCGTCCAGCTGGGGAAGAAGAGGAGGAACGGACATGGTGGGTGAGGCTGAGCTCGGGATTAGTGGATGGGACCTGGGGCCAGCGGGCAGGAGCAGAGGCAGAAACCTCCTGGAGAGCTGGCTGGGAGCAGGACGGGGGACTGGGGACTAGGGCGGTGGGGGAGGAACGGGCTCCTTTCAGGCTGGAGAAGAGACTAAGGCGGGGTGAGGGGTGGGGGGGGGGAAGGGGGCTAAAGGGCACGGCGGGTTAAGTGCACAGGCCAGTGTGAGAAACTGGAGCTTTAGGGGGCCGTAAGAATTTGTTTTGTTCTGCTTTTTGTATCTCCCAGAACGGGACAACCACAAGGACAGAAGTCTCCCCACCAGCCCTGGCCTCACCTTAAGGGTCAGGGCCCGAGAGATGAGGTACGGAAGGTCGAAGTTCTGAATGTTGTAACCAGTGATCACATCGGGGTCCATGACGCGGACGAAGGTGGACCAGGCCTGGGGGCAAGGCCATAAAGCATCAGCATGTCTCTGTCTCAGATACCCCCATTTCCGGAATGTTCCAGAAACCCCCAGATTTGGGAAAACACCACAGAACCAGAGTGCTCAGGGTTTGGTGCTCGATGCATAAGCATCCCAGCTCAGGGACACGTCAGTGCATGGTGGCCTGTGGTGTGGCTGGGCAAGTGGGACTTGGGGTGAGGGAACCAAGGGAACTATGGGGGTAGAACGAGAGCCACCTGGAGCAGGTCCTCTTCCCGTTCATAGCTCTGCACCTTGGCACCCAGGATGGGGGCGCAAGGCTGCAGGGTGAGTGCCAGGCGCAGGAAGGGCTCTGGCTCACCCCAGCGCAAGCCCAGCGAGCAGATTTGGATCACCGGGTCCCGCTCAGGCTCAGGGAAGATGCCTAGGAGGGACGAGAAGAAGGAGAGGGAAGCAGGGGCCTGACTCTGGTTCTTTCCCACATCACACCAGGGTCACATCTCTCAGTTCGCCAGCCCATCCAACGCTGCCTGCAGACTGCACAATTCACGCCGGCCCCCTCCACCTTGCTCAGTTCATTCCAGCCACACAGGCTGAGATGGTCCTGCCCCAGGGCCTTTGCACTTGCAGTTTCCTCTGTTGGGCAGTGTCCCCACCCATCACCTGACGTGGCTTGATTCCACATCACTGATGTGGGGTGGGGGGAAGAGCCCCAGGTGCAGGGAACAGACCTTTGCGGCCAGCACACTCGATGTCAAAGCTGAGCACACGCAGAGGAGCGATGCGTTGCCACGGCCCTTCTGGGGGGTGGCTGACCACGTCTGACCACAGCACATCGGCCTCCAGTTGACACAGTGTAGCCTGGGGGAGGGACAGGATGTGTCAGTGGCAGTGAGGTCCTGGACCCCTGCCCCCTTCCTGGGGAGCCCCATACCTTGTCCTCTGGTCGTAGGACATATTTCCCAGCCGGGAGCTCCAGCCAGTTGCAGCCCACGATGTCCGTGTCCACCATGAACCTGGAGAGGATGGTGGGTCAGTGTGCACAGGCTCGGGTGTGTGGGGGAGGTGAGGGTAAGGGCAGAGGCTGCAGAGGAGGGGAGACAGGGCTGCACCGAATCTCAAAGTCCACGTTGGCCTCATAGGGTGCGAAGCTGGGGGTGCCTAGGCCTGCCACACGGATGCCCTGCTCCAGGAGGCGGCGGGCGGGAGCCACGAGACGGGGCAGCGCCAAGATGACACGCAGGAAAGGAGAGGGACCGTGGCCATGGTACCCGAACATGCCTGTGGACAGAAGAAGCTGGCACGGGTCCATGAGCTCAGCCCCCCGCAAGTCCCCAGGGTGACCCACACTCACTCTCTCGAGAGCACAGCTCCACAGCTAGCACCGCGGGCCCAGTAAGCTCTTTCCCCCCACGCTGGTCCCGGCTGATGGCTGTGTTTAGCTCACGCTGCAGCTCGCTCAGGTGTTCAGTCCCAAAACCTGGTGTGGGAGGGCCTGTCAGAGGAGCTGGAGGCCTTTGGGAGCCAGAGATATATTGTCCCAGGTCAGGGCCACTCACCAGAAGGTGCAGGGGTGTAGAAGTAGGGCCGGAAGTCATGGATGTGGCAGCAGACAGAGAAACCCTCGTCGGTGACTCCAAAAGCACGGAGCACAGGCACGGAGTCGCAGGATGGTGGAGGCCTCCCTGGCAGGGGCCGTGCTGGGCCTTAGAGGGTCACAGGGAAAGTTAGGGCATCCCCAGTGCCTGTGAAGGTCTCCTCCCAAGGACAGTCCCTGAAGTCTGGGGCACCCCTGCCCACCTCACACTATGGCTCACTCACCCTTTGCAGTCCCCTCCCTGGTCCCCTTTTCAGGAGCCCTGCATTATAATGTGAAAAACATTTATTGTAGGCTGGGTGTGGTGGTACATCTTGTAATCCCAGCTACTTGGGAGGCAGAGATCAGAAGGATTCATGGCCAACCCAGGCAAAAAATTAGCGAGATTTTCTCAAAAAGCAAGCTAGATATGGTAGCACATGCCTGTAATTCCAACTACACAGGAGGCGTAGGCAGGCAGATCTGTCTACAGCCAGGCCTGGGCAAAAGCAAGAGACTCTACCTTAAAAATAACTAAAGCAAAAAAAAGGATTGGGGTCATGGCTCAAGTGACAGAGTACCTGCCTAGCAAACGAGAGTCCCTGAGTTCAAAAAGAACTGCTGCCAGAAAGAAAACCAAACAAAAACTCCTATTTCTCCTAGAAAGTCAAATTGGCTACTGATGCACGAGTCAGGATTTTGAATGTGACCACAGGGATGGATTCCTACAACCACCACGAAACTGGGAGGCACAACAGCTCCACGCTCCCAACAGCTCTCTCAGCTGCCCCTTCTCTGTCACCTACCCCTCACCTGCTGATCTGTCCTGTCACCATGGCTGTCTCTTCAAGACTGTCCACATTAATGGAATTGTAAATGGAGCCATCCAAAGTGTAGTTCTGGGTATATTCGCGGTGCTGGGGCTGGAACCCACGTGAGCTCTCTACTACTAAGCTACACTCCCCAGCCCTCAGGATGTAAAACCGCTGAGTTTGGCTTCTGGCACTCAGTATGATGAAATCAGCTGTCCCTCATCCCTGCTTTGTCCCTCCCCCAGCTCACCCACATAATGGTCGATCTCCAGCTGCTGGAAGATGAGGGGCTCCGTCTGGGGGTCCAGGGAGGTAGGGGTGGGCCGCATCCAGCGGGAATCTGCGGCCGCCAAGGAGAACTGGCCTGCTTGGTGGCGGGGTGAGGGGTGAAGAGTGGGGTTCTGTGGAGTCAAGGTCCTCCTTGGGGCACATGACTGCCCTCCCAGGCCAGCCCATGGTTCCTTGGGGGCCTGGTTTATAGAAGGAAAGCCAGGTGGAGGCAGTAGTCTAGGTCAAGCAGGAGACTCAGGAGGTCAAGCAGGGATCAAGGGTCAAAATCAAGAAGCTGTACAGCCAGGTACACTAGGAGGCTGTAAGCCAGGAGGTGGAGACGGAAGGATCATTTGAGTCCAGGAGTTCGAGACCAACCTGACCAACATAATAAGACCTCGACTCAAAAAAAAATCCCAACAAGCTGCAAGCATGAGGTCAAAGGTCAGCCCTTAAAGTGGACTAGAGGCAAGACAAGATGTAGGTGGGGAGGAGCTGCAGGGGTCCCACCCTGAGTCTCACCGTCCATGGCGCCCTCCAGGGCTGGCTGCAGTTCCTCCTCCTCCTGTTCCTGCAGCCTGTGCTCTGCCTCCATCTCTTCCAACAGTGCCAGGTCCTCCTCGAACTGGGATGCTGGCAGCCCCTCATCCTTGTCCCAGAAGCCCCCACGGGACCGCTTTGGGGGCACCTCAGGGCCTGGGCCTTGGCGACGCTTGAGGTCCATCCTGCTGGGCAAGGTGGGTGCAGTGGGAATTCTGATCACACCATCCTTCCTGAATCCTCCACGGCCTCCCAGCATGCACAGTGACCATGAGTCTTTTTTTTTTTTTTTTGCAGTACTGGGGACAGAACCCAGGGCTTCCTGCATGCTAGGCAAGCACTGTACAACTTCAACCACAGCCCAGCCCTTTTGTTCGTATTTTGTCTGTGAGACAGTCTCCTTAGCTTTGCCCACACTGGCTTCACACTCAAGATCCTTCTGCCTCTGCCTCCTGAGTAGCTGGGATTACAGGCATGTGACACCACGCCTGGCTACCATAAATCTTTTAATATGTTCACATAGCTAAAGAGTGACCCAGCTCCCCACCCTGCAGGCTCCTGAGCATCTGGAACTTTCCATCATTAGCACTGCAGCACTCCACCCTCCTGTCCCCCTCGGTTTAACCCTTTCCTCTCAAGCTCAAGCTCCTACCTCCTTTCCCTGTTCACTAACCTCTTACAGAGCCCCACGCCCTGCCAGCTGCTCTCAGCCCTCCCTTCCAGCAGACTGAGCCTTGGTATGTCTCTTAATTTCCCACAATCCCCTCTGCCCATGCCCTTGCCTACTCACCCCATTGTCCCAGCCTTCCCTCAGCAAGCAACTGGAGCCGGGCGCTGGTGGCTCACGCCTGTAATCCTAGCTACTCAGGAGGCAGAGATCAGGAGGATCACAGTTCAAAGCCAGCCCCAGGCAAATAGTTCACGTGACCCTATCTTGAAAAAACCCGCCACAAAAAAAGGGCTGGTGGAATGGCTCAAGGTGAAGGCCCGAGTTCAAACCCCAGTACCACAAAAAAAAAAAAAAAAAAAGCAGCTGGGACACACCAGCCTCCAGTCAGTCACCACACTCAGCACATGGCTGCCCTAGCTTCAGTGACACCTCTGGACGAGGTGACCATGATCCCACACCCAGACAGAAAGGCTCCATGTTCCAGGGTGCTCTGCTAGGAGTGGCCACATGACCTAGTTCTCACCATGCAGTCAGGGTGCCTGGGAGGTGCACAATCTCTGGGTCCCAGATGGGGTGTGACCGACAGGAAGCTGTCTGCCCTCCATCCCTTCCCCTTCTTCATGGCTGGAGTGCTTACATGGAGGTGGTAAGCCACCCTGGGCCACAGAACTTAACAACCTTGCGTCCCACCTTGACCTCTGGACAGTTAGAGGGAGAAACCAACAGTGCCTTTGTTGGGGTGCATTTTGGGGGCTCTTTAGGGCTTAGCCCAGACGATGCTGATGGGGGCACACTAAGGCAAACGTGGTGCTGACACATAACAGATTCTCCTTGGTGTTGGGGAGGAGCAGGCCACTGTGACACACAGCGGGGTGAGGCACAGTCACCACAGGGCAAAGTAAGCCCAGCATACAACGTGCAGACCAGGTTGAGGAATGTGGAGAGACTGCTCAGTGCATATGGGGTTTCCTTTGGGGTTGATGGAATGTTCTGGAACTAGACAAAGGCAATGACTGCATTACTGAACGCTGCTCACTTTAAAACAGTGAATTTCTCCTCAGAAGAAAAGGCAAGTTGAGCCTAGCATGGTGGCACATTCCTGTAATGCCAGCTACTCAGAAGGCTGAGATCAGGAGGATTGAGGTTCGAGGCCAGCTCAAGCAAATAGTTCTCAAGACCCCATCTCCAAAATAACCAGGGCAAAATGGACTGGAGGTGTGGCTCAAGTGGTAGAGCACCTGCTTTGCAAGTGAGAAGCCCTGGGTTCAAACCCTGGTCCCACCAAAAAAATTTTGAAAAAGACAAGTCCATGTTGTGTGTCATTTCCATGACATGTAGAATGCACACACCAACTGATGGTGACAGACAAGCCAGGCTAGGGATGACCTGTGAGGTAGGAGAGATTGATGGGGACTGGGTGGAAGGAATTTTCTAGAATGATGGAAGAGGAATCATACTTCAAACTGCACACTTGGGACCCGTGCACTTCGCTACATGTAAATTCCACCCCAACTTAAGGGAGCTACAATTCCACATGCAGGGATCTGTGAGTTTAGGAATTTATGCTACAGATATTGTGACAGATGAAAGACCTGCTTTTATAAGGTTATTTCCGGCAGCACTGTTTGAAATACAAAAGACTGGAAACCACCTAAATGTCCTCCCCTGGGGGAATGATTCAATAAAGTCCGTTAAGCCTACTCAATGGAGTAGTATGCAGCTGCATAAAGGAATGAGGAAGCTGTGATACAGGAGCCCTCAACGAGGCCTTGTTTCGTAGATAAAGCAAGGTGTGCAATGGTATGCTTACACTTTTCTGTTTTCCGTTTAAAAAAAAAAAAAAAAAAGAGACAAAGCTGACTAAGAAAATGTTCACCTTGACTCTAGTCACTAGGAAACAAACAGACCCAAGGAAAAGGTGAGGGAAGGCTCACCAATGAGGTGGCACCCAGCGCTTCTGTTTTGGGAGGATCTGGGGTTTGTACTCAGGACTTCATACTTGTAAAGCAGAGGCTCTTCTGCTTGAACCACACTCAGTCCATTTTGCTCTGGTTATTTTGGAGATGGGGTCTCATGAACTATTTTCCTGCTCTGGCCTTGAACCACCATCATCCCTATCTCAACTTCTCAAGCAGCTAAGATTATAGGCATGAGCCACCAGCACCCAGCTTTCTGACAGCTTTAAATGCACGAACTGTCCACTGATGTCCTCGGGCTGCCAGAACCAACTGCCCCCTGGAAGGACTATCCTTCGGGCATCTTCAACTCCAGAGCTGACCTCCCCCACCCCAAACTGTTCCTGTGTCCCAGGCTCCCACAATTCAGTAATCAGCAGGTCCTATTGGGCCAACAGCCTTGGAGTCACCCCAATTTCTCGCTTCCCCTCAGAACACAGATTCACCCCAGCTGCCCATCTATCTTCCCAGCCTTCTGCAGGATCTGAACCCACTACTCTTGGCCCCATGGGGCTCCCACCTGGGTCCCTCAGAAGGCTGCAGGGGATAGGGCAGCATGGCCACAGTTTCTGTCTCCACCTGCTGGAATGTGAGCCCAGGGCAGGATGGGAGCCTCTCCAGCACCAGGCACAGAGCCTCTGACAAATCTGAATGGAAGAATGGCCTCCTTGGTCTCCCTCCTCTGGCTCCACCAGTAGGCTCTCTATGTGGAAGCCAGAAGACTCTGCATAAACAGACCAGGCCACCCCATCTCTCCTCTGCTCAGAGCCTGCCTGGATTCCCTTGTCACTCAGAGTCAAAGTGAATGCCTCACCATGGCCCTGAGGAACAACCTGCCCCTGAGGTCCTTCTGACGCCAGTGCCTACCCTTTCCCTGGCTCACCAGGCACCAGCCACTACAGCCTCACTACTCCTCAAACACACCATCCACTGAGCTTGGTCCTACCCCAGGTCCTTTGCACAGGCTGTTCACAGTCCTAATGCTCTTTTCCAGGCATCTTCTAACTCCCACCCTCCCCTCCTTCAGGCCTTCGCACACATGTCACTTTCCCCGTGAGGGCTTTTTAAAGGTGTAGTGTCCCCCATTCCTGGCCCTCTCCAGTGCTCTTTCCTGCCGTTTTTATGGAGGGTGCTTATACATTCTCAGAGTAACCAAACGGTCCCTGGACCAGTTCATGAACTTCAGGAGGGACCCTGCTGGACATGCTCATGCCAGGCCTCACTGGGACCACTGAACCAGAACCCCTGGGTGGAGGCAGAAGGGGTGCCTCCACGTTGTAGAAAGAATCCCCAAGTTCCAAAGTCATTCCAGTCTGAGGAGCACTGCTCATTTACCTTCACTGTCTGTCTCCACCAGGACAGGAGCTCCCAAGGGCAGGGACTTGTCTTTTGTTTCCTACAATAGCCTGTGCACTACAAGGAGCTTCCAGGAAAGGAGGGGCTCAAAGCCCCCTTTCAAATGAATGAACAGGTTAGGCACCGGTGCTTCTTATCTGTAATCCTAGCTACTCAGAAAGCAGAGACCAGGAGGATCACGGTTCATGGACAGCTTGGGCAAATAGTTCTTGAGACCCTATTTCAAAAATACCCAACACAAGGGGCAAAAAAGCAAGACCCTATCTCAAAAACAACCAAAGGAGGACTGCGGCTGTGGCTCAAGTGATAGAGTGCCTGCCTAGCAAGCACAAGGCCCTGAGTTCAAATCCCAGTATCACACACACAAAAAAAGAAATCAGTGGAAAATACCCAACACAAACCAAGGCTGGCGAAGTTGCTCAAGTGGTAGAGCACCTGTCTAGCAAGCACGAGGCCCTGAGTTCAAACCCCAGTGCTGCCCAGAAAAAAAAAAAATGAACAGAAGAACCAAAAGATCCTCACAACACCCTTGATGTAGGTGCTATTCCTGCCCCATTTTACAAGATAGGAACTGAGGCCCAGAGAGGTGAAGCCACCTGGCCAAGGCAGCACAGTAGTCCAGTAGCCAGAGATAGTGTTTACACTTGCAGGGTTGACTCCAGAGCCTAGTTACCCAGCATTCCACACTGCTGACCTGTGTGTGCAGGGCCAGTGTCAGAGGAAACACAGGCTGGTCCACTCCACCCGGGGAGACTTTGAAGCTGCTATCTGCAGAGGGACACTAAATGGTCACAACTGTAACCGCTCATTTTAACCCCAGGAAAGCACTCTGCTCACTTTGGTCTTGACCCTATCTGCTGCCATCGCTGCCCTCATACTGGGCATGCATCTGCCTCCCTCACCACACAGGGACCTGGCAGGCAGGGCTGGGTGTGACTCTGCTCTGGGTCCCAGCACCATGCAGCACAGGGCCATACCCACAGTGGGGCTAGGGAAGGGTATGCTGGACATAATTTTCTTTCTCTTGTCACCTGACCTGGCCACATCCTGGTCTTAGCTCCAGCTCGGTCCCTCCAGGCCCACTGGCTGCCCTGGGCTCACACGGCACCTCATACAATGTCTGTTATCTCATGTGTACACCATGTGGGGCTGGTCCAGCCTGGGAGATCATCAAGAATAGGAGTTTCAGAGTTGGGCATGGTGGTGCACACCTGCAATCCCAGCACTCAGAAGGTAGAGGCAGGAGGATCGTGAGTTTGAGGCCAGTCTGAGCTACATAAAGACTCTGTCTCAAAAAACCAAGAGCTGGGGCCTTAGCTTAGTGATAGAGCACTTGCCTCGCATGTACTAGGTCCTGGGTTTGAGCCCTAGCACTGCTACTAAAAAGAAAAAGAAAAGATTGAGAGAGAGACAGGGGTCAGGGTCTCACCCAAGCTAGAGTTCCCAGCATCACTGCAGACACTTTACGGCTTATCTGTAGTTAGAGTTCAGTCTCTCATCAAGTTTTACCAACCCTGTGACTGTTCCCTGAAACCCTGATAGCTCAGAGCACCCTGGATCAGGCAGTCCTGTCTTTCCCCCCCAAAAAACTGCATTACCACTGGCTCCCCAGTGTCCTGCAAAGAACCTGCAGTGGGAGTCACTGCCTGAAAGACTGAAGAGCATTTGGGGTGCGGGAGGAACTCCTCTAAGGGACAGGAGAGCCTGGGTGGAGGAACCGCAGGAAGGAGGGGGACAAACAACCCAGTAACAGGTTTCTGGGGTGGGTGGGGCTGGGGCCCAGGCGGAACATCATGCGTCCCTCACTCCTGCAGTTGAGGCTCTGCCCTCAGTTTGCTGCTCCAACTACAAAGCCAGCAACTCTTCCCCTCAATGGGGTGGGGGAGGGGGCCCAAGCCATTCCTTCCTTGCACTCTATGCAGGAGCCACCCCACTGTTCCCTCTCCCCTGGCCTCTCTCTCCTGCTACAGTCTAATCTCCACTAGGCAGCCAGCAAGTTTTTCAACACGCAGGGTACATCACGTTGTGTCTACCCTCCCCCAGCTCCTCAGTGAACCCAGAAAAAGGCCAAACCCCACAGCAAGATTAACAAGGCCCTACACGACCTTGGTTTCCCATCATGTCTGTGACTTCATCTGTATTTCTCCCCTGCTCCCTCAGATGCACCTACCAACACGCCCAGCTCCTTCCCCCTCAGGGCCTTTGCGCTTACCAGCGACCCTCCTGTCCAGCTATTCCCTTACATTGTCCCTTCCCAGAAAAGGTGACTATGGGAGCTAAGGGGGCAGGCTACCCCAATCCTGATCTCCTTTGCCCCTTTTATTTCTTCTCATATAAAACATCAAAGCCCGAAACCATGGCTTTACTGTCATTCAGCCTAATTACTGTACTCCCCGCTGCAGGGACCGTTCTGGACTAGTTCGCGCTGTAGCCCCAGAGCCTAGAAAGCGCCCGGCACGGATACCCCGTAAACACTGAGCGCATGCAGGTGACACCATGCTCGCATATGCGCCACCCAGTCCCCCAAAGCCTTCCCTAGCCACGGCCCCGCACTCTCAGGCGCGGTTTCAGCGCCTGCGCCCCTAGGATGCTGAGGAGACCCCCCCCAAACCAAACATTTTCCCGCGCGCCCCCGCGCTGACCACCGGCCCCCGCCCCTCTTCCGTGCGCCCCAGAGCCAAGGGGTCTCTCCAATCACATCGTCCCCTGAGACTCCCTCACAACCCTCTCTTTGGCCTGCATCCCAGTTCCCCAAGCCCCCTTTCCCTGCCAGTCGAGTTCCTCCATTCCCCTCCTTCCTTACTCACCCGCTTCAAACAGCGTTTCCCGCCACAGCGTACGCCACGGTGACCCCTGACTCCGGCGCGCGCAGGCCCAGAGGCGCCCGGCGATGCGCAGGGCGACGCGCCGGGCCACGCCCCCCTCCGGCCAAATGCGGGCGTGATCACGCCCAGCCGGACTGATGGCCACGCCCCCTCCAAGGGGAAGACAAACCACGCTCCTCTATCCGACTTGGGGCGTGGCTCTACCCGGCAGCCCAGGAAGTCTCATTAACCCTGCCCTCTAGTGACGTATGCCCGAAGTCACGCCCCTTCCTGCAACTACCTTCACTCCCTCCTCGGGCGCTGCGCGCGCATCCTTTTCTCTCCGCCGCCTCTGGGCCAGACCCACAGGACTATCCGGGCGGGCGCTGCTTAACAAGTGGCCGGATTTTGACTCCCGCCCTCCCCACAGAGGTCGTTCTCCCAGCCTCAGTTTCCCCATGCGTACACTAGACTGAGTGGAGGGCGGAGGACACTTTATAACTACTGTCATTTCCGCTGTCCAGCCCCAAATATATCTTCTGGAATGCAGCCCGTATCCCCAAGCAACCCCTTCTCCTCTCCAGACCGTCTCTGCAACTCATCTTAGGAACTCTGGAAGAACTTCATCGCTCGCCCCGCATCCCACACTGCGCGCCATCCCTCAACTCGGAGGCCCAGCCCACCGGCCCAGTGTTTCAGGTGCCACTGGAAACAGCGCCTCCTTTGGGATGTCTCCCCTTCTAACAGTCCCCGTCCACTTCCCACTGTCTGGCATGGACCTCAGAGGAAGGTTTTTATCCTGTCCACTGAGGTTTCCGTCGCCCACACCTGTGTTGGGTGTCAACACTGCATCCATACAAGCTCTGACCCAGAACCTACGCACAGTGCTTGTCCTCAATCTTTAAACCTATTTATCCTCCGAGAGCGGTTCCAATTCACCTTGTACTGGAAGATGAGCCTCGGGCTGTCAGGCACCTGTCCCAGGTCCTCAGAGCACATCACTGTGGACTAGGGTAGTCTGTGCCCACCAGCCTGGCAGTGTGAGGACACTGTTGATCTCACCAGCTGATTCAGAGAGAGACTCTAGAAGCCCACCCCCTCTCCACTTCTCAAGTTTGCACTCTGGGCTGACTTCTACTCATACTTCCTTGATTTTGTTTTGTTTTTATTAAATAAAAGGAGCAGGGGAAGAGGGGGGCCTATGGCCTCCCAGGCTGTGGGGAGCCATGAGCCCCAGCTCCCTCTGTTCAAGGTGCACTGCATGGTGGGCTTGAGGTGTAAGCTGGGGGAGAGGACAGTTGGGAAGGGTCAGAGGTCAGGACCTGTGACCCATCACCCCTCCTGGAAGACTTGGAGGGCAGGGAGGGTCCTCCAGGACCCCACCTGGGACACATACTGAAGGCTGAGGCCTGGCCTGGCCCCCTTCCGCCCCAGGAGGAGGAAAGGTGACAGCATCCATCTGTTGCAGGGTGGTCAGTCAGGTGAGACTGGGGGCCAGGGTGGCAGGCCCTTATTCATGGACGTCCCAGATCTCAGAGAGCAGAGGCGGCAGCTTCTTGTCCTGAAGCCGCAGGGCAAAGACCTGCTCGGAGTGGACGGAGCTCAGGGTGCGCAGGCTCACCAGCTTCATCAGCATGCGTGGGAATCGAAGCTGGTCCTGCAGGGTGGGAGGACAGAGGCGGTGCCATGAAAGGAAGGCCTCCCTCCCAGAGTGGACAAGCCTGGGGAGCTAGAGCAGGGAGGGGCCAGGCATGGCACGGGCCCCACCCTGTGTGTGGGTAGGCCTAGCTTCTCAAAGAAGGAACAGTGCACTGAAGCTCAAGACTGTCACGGTCGGGTAGGCAGAGGCTGGGATGACCCTTGTGGGGCTGGACACCCCCCCGCCCCGGACCAAGTACTTTCCAAGAGGAGCAGCCAGTACCTGCGGCCTCTTGATGCGTGTGTAGGAGAGCAGGGCCTCTACATAGGGCTGCTGCAGCTCCTCCACGCGGCTTGGCTCCTGCACGTTGGGCCGGTCAGCTGAGAAGATGTTGATGGCGATGAGCAGGGCGTACTCTGCGTCGTCCAGGCCCAACCGCCTCATAGCCCTCGAGAATTCAAAGATGGGGTTGATGAACTCCACCTGTAGGCCTGCAGAACAGAGGCCACCATCAGCCCCCTTATCTGAAACCAGCTTCACATTCCAGTCCCTGTGATGGCCCAGTCCCTGGGTGAGGGAGACAGCTGTGATGACAGCATTCTTATCTCTCCTGTCCACCTCCGCATCCCTGTGCCTATAGGATGGCCTGGCACGTAGGTGTGCCACAAACCCTGCCTACAGAATGGAACAAGGACCAAGGGCGTGTGCACTGTCTCTCTCACCATCACCACCCCACATCCTATGCACAGCTGACAGCTCTTCCCTGGTGTCCCGAGTCTCTGTCCTCCCCCTTTACAAAGGCAGAGGTCCCATTGTGCCTATCCCCAGGTGGCTCCCACTGCTCAGTCTCATTTCTGAGACTGACCCATTCCCTCACTCATTCATCAAACACTACTGAGCACGAACTGCATGCCAGGCCCTGGGGTGAGCAGGTGACAAGACAAAGCCCCTGCTCTTGTAGGACTTTGGGGTGTGGGGACAGAAGATAAACATCAGTAAATACCCAGAATGTGAGACTGTGAGATTTACAGGTAATGCACCGAAGGGCCTCGGGACCACCGAGAATCACAGTGCACTTTATACACTTTACAGGCAGGAGGCCTCACTAGATCCCGTATTTGAGCGAAGGCAAAAGAGCAAGTTACAAGTCTGTGCAAGGGTTCTGGGTAGGGCAGCCCGCTCTGATGTGCACAGGACTTGGAAGGACATGAGACTTCATGTGCTCAAACTGAGAAAGTCCTGTACAACTGGGATGAGTTGATACCCTGGTTCCAGGTGAGGACTGCAAGTAGTGGCCCTGTGGCTGAGCATGTTGATGGATTCAAATACAAGCAAGGAGGCCAGTGATCCAGGGGAGAAGGACAAAGCCTGGTCCTGCACGGCTGGTGGACTAGTGAGTTCTGGGGCTTTTCTCCAACTAAGAAGTCATGGAAGGTTCTGAGTGGAGGGGAGACAGCTGACTGGGGTGCTGAGAACATCTTTCTGATGCTGTGAGAACAGACAATGCTGGAGAGTGGGGTCAGAGAACCCAGTAAGGAGCCCTTGGGATGTCCAGGGAGACATGACAAGCCACACAGTGGCAGAGCAGGGGTGAGAAGTGCTGGGATACACCTCCTCTACGGCCCCATCTCTCTGCGCTCCAGTTGCCTAGGGCTCCTTAGAACCGGCCAGCTCCTCCTCACCTCAGGCCTGTACACATGCCCATCCGCAGCCAACGCTTTTCTCCCCCAGACCTGCCCTGAGAGCCCACGTTGGGTTACTGGGACTGCCTAAAGGTGGAAACGTTGAGTCTGGAGGAGGAAGACAGGTTAGGAGTGGTTCCCTAGGAGTACGAAGCAGTGTTCTAGGGAGAGATGATGGGACTTACTAAGACAGCAGAGGATGAGTGAGTGAGGTCTCCACACATGCAGTTCAGTAGCTAGCAAGGCCACGCCCCTCCTTACCCACGCTTGCCTCCCTTTCCCAGAGCCCCTGTGCCTAGATCACATGCCCAGGTAAGTGCTCTGAGAGGGCAGGACCCAAGGCTACCCTATACAGATGGGGAAGCTGTGAGCTTCCCGGTGGGGGATCCAGCAGCTTCCCCAGGAGACAGGTTTGAAAGAAGGACCTTCTAATTCCCACCAAGTGGCCCTGTGGGATGCAGAGACACCTGTGGAGTTGGTACTCCATGAATGCCTCACTCTCACACAAGCTCGATCCTCAGCTCCACTTTGGAGGCTACATGGGGATGAGAGAGCACAGGCCCCCCAGGTACACAGGGCTCCCCACCGTGGCCCAACTGCCTTGTGTACCTGCACGGTGGAAGTCATCCTTGCTGTAGGTGAAGTCCTTCAGAAAGGTGATGCATTCTGTCTCATGGTTGTAGCGCCTGGCGGTCTCCAGCAGCATGATCTGGAGAGGCAGGCAGGGGCCAGGACCTGTTAGCTACTAGTCCCTCCCCTCCTGGCCCCAACAAGGGAACAACCTGGCCAGGATCATCCCATGCCCCAGAAGGCCATCAGGAGGTTGGAGCTCTGGTGCATGCTGCCCCCATCCCAGGACATTCTCCCCATTCGGTGACCATGCAGGGGGCACTTAGAGGGGAGCTTCGCACACTGCCGACCCTCAGTACTCATTATCCTGATCTGGCTCAAATGTCAGGGCCTCTGAACAGTTTCTTGGACATATTTCCTCTGACATGGGCCCCTCCAGCCCAATCCTCAATTATTCTCTGCCTTAGCACCTTGTTCCTTTCTTTCCCTGGCATGGGAGGCTCTTACTATGTTGTTAGGATTGGCCAGTCCCATGGGATATCATCCTCACAAGCCAAAGGCCTGGGCTTGCTCTGCACTTTGATCCCAGCGTGTCCTGGAGCTACGTCTGGGGTTCCTCACGGGTAGGAGGGACGGCGACAGCCATACCTCAATGGTGGATGCCTTCAGGAGGGCGATCTGGTCTTCACGGCCCAGCTGCAGGAAGCCAGGCACCTGTTTGGCAAAATCCACAATCTCCTGGACTGAGATGATGGCCAGCTCCGTGAAGTGGGCGAAGCGCTGCTGGCGTGCGTCTCGAGACTGGGGGTCTGCACCCAGGGGCCAGGGCTGGGGCACAAAGACCAGATCACTCCAGGACTCCTGTGCTCTGGGGGACCCTCCTCCCAAGGCCACTATCCCAGGGAGCTGAGTATCCTCCCATGCCTGGGCCCCAGCCCTGATGGCTCTACCCCTCTGGGCTGACACCCCTTGAGGCTGTGGATAGTGCAGTACCGTGACTTTGGGCTGGTCAGAGAAGGAACGTTTGTTGCACTGCAGCTGGGCGGCCACCAACTGTTGGATCATTAGTTCCTGTGCTGCTGTCAACTGGGACACTCTCGCCTTCCCCAGAGCCCTGACCACCCACCTCGGACCCGCCAGGTGAGGCTGCAGACCCAGAGGCTGAGCTGCTGCTGCCCGCGGGCTCCACAGGTGGCGGCTGCTGCTGTTGCTGCTGTTTCTGGATCTTTTTCTTCCGGATCTGTTCTTCAGAGAGGACACCTGTGGGAAACAAGGACCTTAGTGGAGGCCCCTGCCTCCAAACTGTACCCCATAGCCTTCCTCCACCCCACCCCCACCCCCTTCCATCAAGCCCCACCCACACCTCATTCCCACCCCTCTCCAAACACCAATGGGAGGTGAGGCTCATGACCGCTTAAGAAAGGAGAGGGGGCTCTCATGGGTGGGCTTTCTGTGAGTCCAGACCGGTAGCACCCATCCCTCAGCACTCACACTGCTCTCTCATCCCCGCCTCCTTGCACTTTCGGAGCCGGCACAGCTGGCACTTGCGCCTCATGAAGGCATCCATCTGGCAGGTGCCACTCCCCCGGCAGGCGTAGCGCCCAGCCCCACCATGGACCACACTGCGCCGGAAGAAGCCCTTGCAGCCTTCGCAACTGAGGACATTGTAGTGGAAACCAGAGGCCTTGTCCCCACACACACGGCAAAGCTCGTGACCCAGCATCTTTGGAGCTGGGCCCTTCTTTCGCTTGCGCTCCGGCTCCTCCTCTTGCTCTAGAATGACTGGGATAGGTAAAGCTATGAGACATAGACCCACAAAGAGACACAGCATCCAGAGGGACAGGCCCAGGAGACATCCCAAGGCGAAAAGTCAGAAGACAGAGGGTGTGAGATCCACACACCCCAAGGGACTGCCATTTGGAGAGAAAGACATGCAAGTCAGTAGGCCTCAAAGAATGAATCAAAGTATGAGGCATCCAGGAGAAACAAAGGGAAAAAAAGAAAAAGAGAAAAAAAAAAAAAAACAAGAAACAGGGGCCTCCCATCTCCCAGTCCATTTCTGATCTTTCTCCCATCCTAGTTCCCTTCCCAACCCCCTCACATCAATTCTCAGACCCTTGTCTCACCCACAATGCAGGCAGAGCCAGTCCCATCAGTGCTTGGGACATCAGGGTCTGGACCCTCGAGCCATGGCTCAGGACCCTCCTTTTTTATGGTGGGTGAAGAGGAGGAGGTGCTGGGCTGAGGGGGGCCATTTCCTGGGAGAGAGAGGAAACGGGAGGGGGCAGTGAGCTTCTCCTGCCACTATGTGATGACTTCGTGGGGAAGAGGATCACTCACCAGGCAGAGGGGTGTCCAGGGAACTCGTGGTGGGGGATGACATGGCGAGGTCAAGGAGCAGCCTGAAGAATACAGGGTGATTGAAAACCTTGTGGGGCTAGGGAGGGCTGGAGCAGGCCAGTTACAGGTCCTGATGGGGATGTCACTCTTCCTTCCATTAAGTCCCGGACTTTTATTTTCTTTTACTGTACATACTATTTCCAGCCCTAGCCCAATGCAGACCCTCCCCACCCATTTTAACAAAGCCCGCCCCTTCTACTCCAGGTCAGCCTTCAGCTTGGTTTTTAAGTTCTGCTCTTCCCAGGCCACGCCCCTCCAGGCCCCACTCACTCGCTCCAAGTACCAGCCCTTCTCCTTCAATCGTGCTGTTGTCAATTCCTCCCTCCATCAAGTTTCCCGCCATCTATTCTTACTAAGACTCCCCTCCCCTCTGCTGAGAAAGTCCCCTGTCACCCAGATCCTAGCTGCTTCTATATGCTCCGCCCCATCTTTTCCTTTTAGGTCCCACCCCATTCGTCCTAGGACTGCCCTCCGTCCTCCTACCTTAAGCTGCTACAATTTAGCCCCGCCCACCAGCAACCAGACCACGCCCGCCCTTATCAAGCCACGCCCCATACCTCGCTCCAGGTCCCGCCCCTCTCCAAACACCAGCGGGAGGCGGGGCTCATGACTGCGCGCGGGGGTCTTGTGGGCGGTCTTTCACAGGGTCTCCCTCCCGTGGTCGTGGAAACGGCCAGGGTAGACGGGAGCTACAGATGGGAAGAAAGGAAAGGAGAAGGGAAGCTGAATGGAGCCGCCCGGACAACGCCGGGAAGTCCCGGCCCGGCTTTTCCCGCGTCTCCCCACTCTCGGGTACACTTGCCTTGGTCCCTTTGCTCTGCTTCTTCGCGTCCTCCGTAGTTCCTGATACGCCACTGCTACTGGGTCCCCTCAAAAGTAACTTCGGGGGGGGCTAGGAGTGAAGCTGAGAGGTAGAGCCCTTTTCTAACATACGGGAAGTCCTAGGTTCGAACCCCAACAGGGCAAAGAAAAAGGAGGAAAAGTAACTTCGCCACTTCTTCCGGCAACCCCGCCGTGCGTCACCTCCGGAAGGGGGCGGGCAGAGAAAGGTGACGGACTTCCGGTCCGCTTAGGCCTAACCGAATGGACTGCGCCGCCCGGAAGTATAGAATTCTCTACGGAAGTTGAATTCCCCCGGCTGCAGTGGTGTGGCGCAGAAGAGTTCCGGATAGTTCAGTCCAGTGTCGGGCAATAGGGGAGATGGACGGTCCCCTAAATCGAGGCTCGTGGTTTGTGGCTTCAGCCCACCTATGCGTGGCCAAAGATTTAGTTCACGTAAATCTCCGAAGCATAGGTTGCTTTCCTTAAACGACTGCTGTGAAATGCGTTTGTCCTATTTTGATTGTGACTAGTATTCTGATTTTGTAGACACGGCAGATACTCGTTTTAAATAAGTGAAATTACAAATATGGATCAGTCTTTTTTTTTTCTTTTGGTTTTGTTTTTGCAGTACTGGGTATTGAACCCAGGGCCTTGGGCTTGTTAGGCAAGAACTCTTTATCACTAAGCTACACCCCCCAGAACCTGGAACAATATTTTTTAAATAAAACCTGGTGATTGAAAGAATTAAAATTTTAAACAAGCCTACTGGTGAAGGTAAAAGTAGCTTTTTAAGGAAAATCAGAATACTTGAGCAGGTGGATGAATATTGTTCCAAAGGTTTTTTTCCCCTCACAGATAGTGCATACATTATTTGTAATTCATTCATTTTTTCTTTTTTGCGTTGTTGAGTCTTGAGCCCATATGGCCTCGATCATGTTAGCACATTACTACTGAGGTGCACCTCCAGTCCACCATGATTTTTTCACAGGCTTGTGGGTGTGATCCATGCTCTTCTGTAACTTGTTTACTTCAGGCTGACTTTTGTAGCAGTGGAATTTTCCTAAGGATGATAGAAAAAAAAAAAGTGCTCGGGCATCCAGGGCTGGCCAGTCTGGTGTCTCCTCCACTTCCTTGCCGTGTAATGCTAAGCCAAGTTACTTCACCTCTCTGCCCCTCACCTTCTCTGTCTATAAAATGGATTTAAGGAGAGTGACCTGGTGGTACTGGCCTTCTGCTTATATGAGGTAAAAAGAATGAGCAGAGACAGGCTCACATACATGAGGCGCTGTATTTGTTCTTGTGGTGTTGAACTTGTTTCTTATCTTACAGTGATAGAAAAGTGCAAAAAGGCTGAAACAGTCTCAAGATGACTTACTGTACACAGCAGGCTCAGCTGACCTACTTGTAAAATAGGGAAAATTATTGTCACTGGAGCCCCAGGACCGAGGCCTGACTCTGGGGGTTTCAACAGACCAGGTTTGGCCACCCACTGCCTCTAAAGTACAAGGAGAGAGGGAGAGAGGAAGAGACGGAAAAGGAGGGAGAGAGAGAAAGAGAGAGCCATCTCTTAAGAAAATTGTCTTCCTCATACTGTCAGTAGTTCTACAATTATACAGAGGAATGACAAGAGTGGATCAAAAGTATTCCATGAGCTGCTTGACTCTCAGGACTGGTTCCGCTGGATCCTGCTGAGGGTCTTTTGGTGACAGGTAAATGACAATTTTTGCTTGCAGGGTAGTTTTAGTTATCAGCATGAGATGATTGTGTGCAGTGCCTGCCTTTAGTGGAATTTGAGATAAACTGAAAAGGAAAAACAAAAAGACAGAACAGGTTAGAGGACAAAATGGAGTCATTGAAGAGAAGGGCTGGGCCCTCTGTCAGGGAGAAGGACAATTTCAGAGGAGCTCTGTTCCATTATGGGGGTGAAGATTCAGGAAGTGCAGTGTCTGCCATGTATTGCATTCTGTCACAGTAACTGTTATATAAAGCTAGCTGTGGGCCAGTGTTTTCATTTGTAACTCATCCAGTGTCTCCTGATGTTTTTATCACAGTTAAATTGAGATACAATACACACATACAATTCACACTTAAGACGAAATTCAGTACTTAGGTTTTGTTTTTAGATAGGGTCTCACCTGTAGCCAAAGCTGGCCTGGAGCTCACTATGTACAATAGGCTGGCCTCAAACTCATGATCTTCTAGCTTCAGGCTCCAGAATGCTGAGATTACAGTTGTTACCACCATTCCTGGCTTGTTTTTTGTTATGTTTGTTTGTTTGTTTGTTTTGACAATACTGGGGTTTGAACTCAGGGCCTCATGCTTGCTAAGCAGGCACTCTACCACTTGAGCCACATTTTACCATTTGAACCAGTCCACCAGCCTTTTGGTGGGGGGTTATTTTCAACATAGGGTCTCACTTTTGTTACCTGGGCTGGCCTAAAACCAGGATCCTCCTGCTCTCTGCCTCTTGAGTAGCTGGGATTACAGGTGTGAGCCACCAGTGCTTGACTTTTTTTTAAGACAAATCTCCCTATTTCTCTCAGGCCGTTCCTGAACAATCCTCCTGCCATGACCTCCCAAATGACTGGAACTTCATATACATCTCACTCTCATTTCTACTTATCTTTACCGAATGCTGGTTGTTATATGTCTCTTATTGTAGTGGGTGTGAACTGACATGTGGTTTTAATTTGCATTTCCCTGGTAACTATTTCTTTTTATCATATGCAGTATGCAATGTCAAAGCACAAAATTACAATAAAGATCTTTCTGGTTTTGGTGTGACTGGAATTTGAACTCAGGGCTTCACATTTGCAAAGCAGACACTCTTCTTGAGCCATACCTCCTGTCCATTTTGCTCTGGTTATTTTGGAGCTGGGGGTCTCTGGCCTCAAATCTTGATCCTCCCCATCTCAGTCTTCCAAGTACCTAGGATTAGAGGCATGAGCCACCAACACCCAGCTCCACCATGCCCTGTTTATATGGAAACTTTCTGGACTGTTAATACCAATCTAGAAGTGTCAAAAAGATTAAGATCACCAGATCTGGGGGCCAGAAAGTTCTGGTCTAGTCAGAAAAAGCATGTGAGGACAGACAAGGGAAAGACAAGCAGGAGTAGTTTTCTTAGTGCAAAGCAGAGGGAGAGTGCCCTCTGCAGACAGAGGGAGAGTGTGCCCTCTGCAGACAGGAGCGTAGGCAGGCAGAAGAAAGTGCTGAGCTGTAAGTCCCAAGACCTCCAGCTTTTATTGGGACCTGTAGACATGGGCTGTTCATTCCTGGAAAACTGGGTTAGTGTGTCATTTACTCCCAGAGACTGGATTTTGTGTAATGAACTTCTCCCACATGTGGGGCAGGAGAATTCTTGGCCTTGGATGGTCAGAACAGGCCTAGGGGCTGTCATTCTGCACAGGCTGTGAGGGCTATGAGTTACCAAGCCCCTGCTGTATGTCACAAGTCATTTCATAATGTCAGTCCAGGATGTGATTCCTTATCAACAGCCAAACCATCATTTTCAGCCACTGGTTTCCTCCTCCCTGCCTAACCATGTATGAGAAGCAGCAGTTTCTTTTCTTTTTTTTTTTCTTCCTTCCTTCCTTTTTTGCGGTACTGGGGTTTGAACTCAGGGCCTATACCTTGAGCCACTCCACTAGTCCTTTTTTTGTGATGGGTTTTTTCGATATAGGGTCTCGACAACTATTTACCGGGGCTATCTTTGAACTGTTATCCTCCTGATCTCTGCCTCCTGAATAGCTAGGATTATAGGCAGGAGCCACGGGCACCCAGCTTTCTTCTTTTTGAGACAGGGTTTCCCTCTGTACCCCAGGCTGGCTTGCAACAGTAGTTCCTCCTGCCTCAGCCTCCTGAGTGTTGGAATTATAGGTGTACACAAATCTCTACTTCATTTTTCCCTGTTCCTTTCATCTATAGCCAAAGTAGATTAAATATAAACTACTTACACTTTCTCTCCCAAAATCTGTAAAAATACTCATAGCCCACTCTAGGGCCTACACCTTGAGCCACTCCACCAGCCCTTTTTTTTATGATGGGTTTTTTTGAGCTAGTGTCTTGAGGACTATTTGCCAGGGTTGGCTTTGAACCACAGTCCTCCTGATCTCTGCCTCCTGAGTAGCTGGGATTATAGGCGGAAGCCACCAGCACCTAGCCATCTAGCTTATTGCTGATAATTTGTGTAAACTTGTCCCAGGACCTGGTCCTTTACTGGCTCACATCTTTAATGGCTGAAGAAACCCTTTGAGCTAGTGGAGTGACTCAAGTAGTAGAGCACTCACCTAGCTAGTGTGAGTTCAAACACCAGTACTGCCCAAAAAAAAAAACCAAAAACCCTTTGAGCTCTTGACCTATTTACTGGTGCTGCTCTTAAGCCACCTTGCTCAGAGACTGCTCCCCCCACACGCCTTCCTGGGGGAGTGTACTTTCACTTTCTCTCACTCTCAATAAAACTCTACTACTTTGCAAAAAAAGAAGGAAATCCTTTGGGGGTAGAGGTATGGCTCAAGCAGTAGATCACGTGCCTAGCAACCAGGAAGCTCTGAGTTCAAACCCTCATACTGCCGAGACAAAATAAAATGAAAAAAAAATTTTATTTCAGAAATCCCTGGTCTGAAGTTTTGATTTAAAAATATACATAAGGGCTGGCAGAGTTCCTCAAGTGGTAAGAGTACCTGCTTAGCAAGTGTGAGGCCCTGCGTTCAAACCCCAGTGCCGCCAAAAAAATGTGTGTATGTGTGTATGTGTGTCCAAGCTGCACCTCAGGAAAACTCAGGGTATAATAAAATGATGCCAGAAATTACATTTGCAATTATATGCAAAAGTGAGTGTGCTGTGAATCCAGGAAATGACAGC